TTTGTTGAAAGTCGTAAGTTTGTAGTTTTTTTTTGAATATGAATAATGAAGATGAATCGACAATGTGAGCAGGCAATGAATTCCATATATTTACAATTCTTTCACTGAAAACAAATCTACGTGTATCTACGTGTATCGTTTCTGCTGGAGTATCTTTGGACGTTTTCGATGCAACGTTTGGTACAATTTTCTATCGTCAGCAAACAGCTTTATTTGACAATCACCTTCAACACAAGAAACTACATCACTAATAAATAATAAGAATAAAGTTAGAGCCAACAGAGTTCCTTGAGGTATTCCACTCTTTACAGGTACGTAGTTTGAGTAAGAATTATCAATGCAAACACATTGAGATCGGTCAGTTAAAAAGTTGGTAATCCAATTTAGAAGTTCGTACTTAATGCCAAAAGCCTTTTCGAAGTCAATATAGATAATATCAACTTCCTCTTTCTCGTTAACAGCTGAGGTCCATTCATTAAGCAAAGCTAACATCTGTGTACATGTAGATCTACGCTTTAAGAACCCAAATTGGTAAATAGAGATAAAATTATTAAGTTGAAGGTACCTTTTTAAACTATTATCAATAATTGACTCCATAACTTTGCAACTAATACAAGTCATTGAAATAGGTCTGTAGTTTGTAGATAAGGTGGGGTTACCTTTCTTAAAAATTGGACATACATATGCGGTTTTCCAAATATTCGGAATTACACCGGTTAACATTGACAACTCGAAAAGGAGAGAGAACGGGATGGCAATAATATAAGCAATCGATTTCAGGAATAAAGCAAGATACACATCTGGTAATTTTGATGACTTTGGTGGAAGTTTTTGAAGAGCTGATAGAACAGAATCATAAGAAAATAGAACATTATTCAAAGAATTATCGTGGGATGGTAGGTCTAGCACAGGTTTAGTACCGTTGTCAGAGACAAACACTGAAGCAAAAAAATTGTTCAGAAGGCTCGATTTTTCACAGTCATCAATACAAAGGGAACCATCGGGTCTTACAAGTGGCGCAACAGAATTTAAACAGTTAAATTTTGAATTGACGTAAGAATAACATTGGGTTAAATTGGATTTGTCTACTGTGTATTTTTCTCGAGCAATACAGTTTTTTGTGATTTCAGCATCGTATAAACGTGAACAATTCTTGTAGTTGATAAGAACAGAAAGGTTATGAGTTCTTTTATAAAGTCTGTACAGAGTACGTTTTTTGGACGCTAATTTACGAATAGCAAGGGGTTGAAGGAGCTTTTTTTTATTGCATAATGAAGGAACGTGAGAAGCAATAGATACACTCAGGACTTTACAAATAGCTTGCCAGAACGATTCAACGTCTGGGTTTTGTTTGGCCAACATATACCAGTTTACGTTAAGTAAGTCGTTATTAATCGAAAAATAGTCAGCTTTATAGAAATTGTGAATACTAGATAGTTCACGACGTTTGGAATATATCAAATTACAATTAAATAGTAAGGTGGAATGGTCTCAAGTGCTGGTGAATGGAGCAGCTGTTTCCACATTGTAAATAATTTTTTTATTATTTGTTAAGATGAGGTCTAACAAATTATTAAGTCGAGTATTGTCAGTTACGAGTTGGGTGAGAGCATTTACAAAGCAAGTTTCTACGAAAAAATCATGGCACGCATCACCAAAACTGATAGGAATCGACCAGTCTATAGACTGGTCGATTCCTATCAGTTTTGGTGATGCGTGCCATGATTTTGCCGTAATTTACCACGTATATATACGTGGTAAATTAAAATCACCGGGTATTATTCATGCAGAATCAGACGTTAACAGAATATTGGAAATCAACTTGCAGATGGAATTGGTTTTAACAATGTTAGAAGAAGCACAAGGTGGGTGGTAAATACACAAAAATCTTATCTTGACGTGGTTTGAAGGAGACTACACTTACTGATATATATATATATATATATATATATATATATATATCAGTAAGTGTATTTCGTTAAAACATTTCGTTAAAAAATTTCGTTAAAACGCTGCATCAATATATATATAAATATATATATATATATATATATATATATATATATATATATATATATATATATATATATATATATATATATATATATATATATATATATATATATATATATATATATATATATACATTTATATATGTATATATATATATATATATATATATATATATATATATACATTTATATATGTATATATATATATATATATATATATATATATATATATATATATATATATATATATATATATATATATATATATATATATATATATACATATATAAATGTATATATATATATATATATATATATATATATATATATATATATATATATATATATACATATATAAATGTATATATATATATATATATATATATATATATATATATATATATATATATATATATATATATATATATATATATATATATATATATATATATATATATATATATATATATATATATATATATATATATATATATATATATATATATATATATTTATATATATATTGATGCAGCGTTTTAACGAAATTGGGAAATTGTCAAAGTATTTCTCAATCACCCCCCCTCCTCCCCTGATATTAAAATGTGTTGTGGGAGCGCATGGGGTCCTTTTTTGGTGTTCTTTTTTTTTCTACTCTACTTCAGCGCTGCATACATTGATTGATCAGCGCCAAAAATAAAATAAAATACCATCTGTATCATTAAAGATGAATATGAAATCAACACAAAATTAGCTGTTGTTTCACGACGACACGGCAAATTAAGAACCTATTTCCGAACATATATTAGGAATGATATATTTTTTTTATTATAAAATAATCAGTGTATATTAATTGTTATTGAGAATAATTAATTTGATTTATTTTTAATCTTTATTATTGTCGCCGTTTACATTTCAAGAGTATTATTTTGAATATATATTTCTTTTTCAATGCAATATAGTAAAATAGCGATCTCCAATGAGCCAATGGTCTTCTACTTTAAATTCTGCTCGACGTACTATACGGACGAACCCTTACATCATCATGTAATAAATTGTGTTATCAAAAGAAATTTTTGAAAATAGATAAGGTTTTAAAAATAGAAAACACAAGCTCATAAATTTCATATTTCACATTTATTGCAAGTTCAATTTTATAATTAATAATAATTTATTTTATACATAAATCGCTTAGCGAAATAAAGTTATAATCACAAAGTCTCAGCAAAAACAACAACAAATGTCGTTTAATTATAGAGTATTATTATTAGCAAGCGATTGCACGAGTGTCATCGAAGAATACCAGTAAAAAAGTAAAAAACTTTAGCAAATTCAGTTCATATAAAATACCAAACAAAAAAAAAGAAAAACAATAACTAAAAGACTTTCCGTAATAACCGTAATCGATCAAAAGGTATCTGACATAACCTTCTCGATGTTTTTGTTGACGAAATACATGTACTACTTAAAGTTGAGTTTACGGTAAGACTTAATAAGTTATTTAACTTTTTGGCCAAAAAGGGCAAAACTTTTAAAGAAATAGCATTTTCGGGTGTTAAACCAAACAAGTTTGTTATTATTTTGGATCTTTTAGATTAGTACTTTATTTCTTGCTAATTTTTTTATATAATATTTGCTGTTGTTGGAATGCATTGCAAAAAACTATTTTCAAACTTTATTGCAAGTTGCCTAAAAAATCCCAAAAATCGCTCCAAAAATCCCAATTCTCATGATGTTTTTTTCGCAACCAATTTTTGCAGTTATGCAATTGCGTTTTTTTTACCAATAATGGCGATTTGATTTCTTGTTTTACGCAATTAATGAATTAAAATTTTTTAATGTTATTTTTCTATTAGTTTTGAATAATAATTAATTTTAAATTATTTTTAGAAATATTATTAAACTTTTATTTGGAAACTTTATTTAGAGATGGGATTTTTTCATCTTTAAATTGGGAATTTTAATTTTACGAGCATTTGGGAAAAACACGTTTGACGGGGCGCCAGAGGGCTAGTTTGCACCCTGATATATATATATATCAGGGCCGTAGGAACAAAAATTGTATTGGGGGGGGGGCAGTATCCCCGAAAATGTTTAATGGACCTTTTTTTTTTTTGAAGTCATTTTTTCAGTCAATTTCTTCAAAATTATTTACTTGAAAAATTATTGGGGGACAAATGCCTCTGCTGCCCACCCGGTTGCTACGGGCCTGAATATATATCATATATATATATATATATATATGTATATATATATATATATATATATATATATATACCAGGGCCTGATATATATATATATCAGGGCCGTAGGAACAAAAATTGTATTGGGGGGGGGGCAGTATCCCCGAAAATGTTTAATGGACCTTTTTTTTTTTTGAAGTCATTTTTTCAGTCAATTTCTTCAAAATTATTTACTTGAAAAATTATTGGGGGACAAATGCCCCTGCTGCCCACCCGGTTGCTACGGGCCTGAATATATATCATATATATATATATGTATATATATATATATATATATATATATATATACATATATATATATATATATATATATATATATATATATATATATATATATATATATATATGTATATATATATATATATATATATATATATATATATACATATATACATATATATATATATATATATATATATATATATATATATATATATATATATATATATATATATATATATATATATATATATATATATATATATATATATATATATATATATATATATATATATATATATATATATATATATAGAGAGAGAGAGAGAGAGAGAGAGTGAGTTGCTTATATATATAAGCCTTCGACCATATAAACTAAATATAGACCATATAAACTCAGAATATAGACCATATAAATATAGACCATATAAACTCAGTTTATATGGTCGAAGATATAAGCAATCGCAATATTGAAGAATACGTTGATGAATCGAATTAAAGATGCGTTACTTTTCTTTATACAATGCCGACGGATTTCATGATGTAGAACCCAGCTCTTCTTGAAAACAGTTAAAAAAAACATCACAAATTTAAATATCCTTATTTAATTTAAGTAATATTAATTTAATATCGTTATCAAGATACATGAAGAAATTTGCTAATAAAATAATTTACCTTGAGGTGCATAGCTTGTTTTTAGGTTATTTATAGAACTTGATCAATGATTTAAATGGAAAACTTTGACCTTGCATTAGAAGCTGGTAAAGAAGAATTAGCTTTGGATCGGCCTCCGTGTAGCAAGAAGCATATAGAGTATTATGGAAACGAGTTGTCAGAGAATGGAATTTTACTAACTAAAAAATTTGGAGAGTCCGATATCTCTATTACTTCAACAAAGTTACATTCATTTTCTGATGATATTGATTCAAGTTTAGTTAGTAATATAAGTGTTAATAACCTTTGTGAAAAAGATATTGGTTTTGAAAAATTAAATAATTTTGAGTATGATATTGATAAACATCAAAGTTCTTGTAATGTTAATCAAGATCAACCTCCATTATTTGATTTAATATCTAATAATAAAAATCCTGTCCAACATGAATTATTAACAATACAATCTTCAGTAGAAACTGAAATTTTATCATTGCCACCAACAAACAATAACAGTTTAGAGAAAATTAAAAAAATTGCAGAGAGAAAAGGTGGAAAAAATCCATTAGTATCTTGTTTAAAGTCAAAGAAACACGAAGATGTAGAAAATGGTAGTGAAACTGAAATAAAAGTTTCAAATAAACCTAAAAAAATAACTTTTGTAGAAGGTGAAAAAATTGTATCCGAATATATTGAGCCTTATGATCCATGGTTAAATGGTAAGGTTTTCAAATAAATTTAATATTGTTTTAGCCCAAAGATAATAATAATAATAGAAAAAATGAAAATATATACATATATAGAAGTATTAAATTCATGAGTGTTTATGCCAAACTAGATGAACTTTTATTGTTGGTGAATTTAGTTATTCTTACAAAAAACAGTGTTTGTTATTTGTTTTGGAAACTATCAACAGTTTTTTATTACAGCACGAACACCTACTCATACTGAAGTAATTTCATTTTACCGAAATACTTGTCAAAAGCTTCGTTGTAAACCATTAGAGAAAGTAATAAAACAATTTCAGGTATTTTTAGTTCATATTATATAGTAATAGTAATGTTTTTAAAATTTTCCAATATATTTTAATATAATAATAATCCATAAAAATAAACCTTTTTTGGCTCTACCCTATATAAGGTTTCCTATAATTAAGGTTTGACATGAGATAGAAATTAATAAAAAAGTGAAATGTTTTAGAGTCCTTCAGAGACCTTAAAATATTTTGATATATGTATTGTACCTGTTCTCCTGATAGTTGCTTCAACTTATAATCAATTAATTATTTATTTCACCTGGATTACCTGAAAACTGATTACCTACATTAACATAGAATAATTTTGATAAAATATACCAGATAAAAGTACTAATTGTAGAAATAGTGACATTATTCATTTCTTGTTTTTATATTGTTTTATATTGTTGTTGTTTAAACTTATTGTTATTTCATTTAGAAACTAACATTGTTTAAGATATAATTATAATTGAGAACAACGACTAACTTTTGTTTATGTTAGTTTCTTATGCATTCTATGAAATTTTAAAGAAACACTGGTATTTCAAAGATAAAAACTTCTTATCAGTGGTTGAAATTGTAATTCACTTACATATTCGTTTGAAGTTGTTAATGTACACACAAAAGGTAGGATTTTGCTAACCTTTTTCTTTCCTACATTATGTCCACAATAAGCTTACCTTGCCAGGCCCCAGGATGCAATGTCGTCATTGAAGGTCCCAGCGAAGCAATTGCAATTGCATTATTCAACAGTCACCAGCTTCACCATCCTCCAAACTCGATTGACACTCATTCAGCCTTCTCAAAACACAAGGCACCTAAAATGGATCGCCCCCACATCGGTCAGGATATCTCAGAAGAAGAGTGGGCAAACTTTATTAGTCGCTGGACATTGTTTAAGAGATGTACAGACATCAGACAAGAAGAGATGACAGCACAGCTGTTTCAGTGCTGTGAGGACGACCTTGGAAATCAACTCCTAAAAGAAAATCCCATGATAATTAATGAAAACGATGAGGCATTTCTAAAAGCAATGAAAAAACTGGCCGTTATCCCAGTAGCCACTTGCGTCAGAAGAGCAGAACTCCTTCAAATGAGACAGGGACACAACGAAAGTATTCGGTCATTCTATGCAAAACTGAAAGGCAAGGCTGCTACTTGCAACTACACTGTTCAATGCCACTGCCACCCACAAACAACTGTTGATTTTACCGATGTTATCATACGAGACATTGTTGTTGCTGGGCTATCAGATACTGACATCCGCAAAGACGTACTTGGATGGGTCTCCCTTGACACAGCCTCCGTCACAGATATCATTGCTTTTATAGAGGGTAAAGAAATGGCACGAAATGCACTAGGCTGTAGTTCAACAACAGCAAGTGTATCAACTTTCAGGAAACAAAACAAGAGCAATACACAGAGTAGTAAAGGGACCAATATAACAGCCAAATGTCCAGATTGCTCAGAATCTTACAGTTTATTTACAGAAACATCCAGAGGATGGAACAAAAAACCCCACAAGCTGTGTCTAGACTGTTGGAAGAAGCTCAGATCTCGCACTTCTAAAATCAACAACAGAATCATCCCAAATGATAAGAAATCAAATGCAACCAAAGATGCTGAGGCAGGCGGACTTGTGTTAAAGTTAAGTGCAATTGAGCATTCAAATAAAAAAATTAGATCACAAATGAAGACCAATGTGAAACGACCATGCACAGGAATAAACCATCACATATTTACCCATGATGGATGGGCCACAGCTCAATTGCTTGTTCATCCTACAATTCAGCTGCGTGTGACTACTAACAAATCAGACTATGTCGCATTTGGTATTCCATTTCCTCCTATTATACCAAAATATATACAAGTTATTACAGATACCGGTGCACAGTCCTGCTTATGGTCTAGGAAAGGGTTTGACAGTGCAGGCTTTAATGCAAACAATTTAATACCTGTGAAACATAGCATGTCGGCCGCAAATAAAACCCAATTTCGTATAGATGGTGCAATTCTTTTACGTCTCGAAGGACGACAATCTAATGGACACAAAGTTGAATGTGCAGTAATGGTTTATATAAGTCCAGACGCAAACGGATTCTACCTATCTAAAGAAGCAATGACCCAACTGGGTATCATCTCTAAGGACTTTCCAGAGATAGGCAGTGCCCTCCACGGAGCTATTAACTCAGGCCCTATAACTATAGGGACCAAAACATCCAGTGAAAATAATAGCTCACACGTGTGCAATTGCCCCAAAAGAAGTCTCCCAGCAGGTACACCCACCAAACTTCCATTTGTCTGCTGTCCTGAAAACAACGAACGGATGAAAGCGTGGCTCCTTGAAAGATACTCTGCTTCAACATTCAACACATGTCCACACCAGATTTTACCTGATATGGAGGGACCTCCAATAAGTATATTAATTCAAGAAAATGCCAAACCAGTTGCAGCATTTACTCCAGCCACCATACCAATCCATTGGCAAGACCAGGTGGAAAAGGATTTAATTCGTGATGAAACTCTTGGAGTCATTGAAAAGGTACCTCTAGGAGAACCTACAACATGGTGTCATAGAATGGTTATCACACGTAAGCATGACGGTGGGCCTCGTCGCACTGTTGATCTATCTCCTTTAAACAAGTACTGCTACAGAGAAACTCATGCAATGAAATCGCCTTTCCAACTAGCTCGTTCAGTCCCAAGAAATTCATGGAAAACTGTAACCGACGCATGGAATGGTTATCATAGCATCCCGATACGGGTTGAAGACAGGAATCTTACCACCTTCATTACTCCTTTTGGGCGCTACAGATACATCCGAGCTCCTCAAGGTTTTGTATCTAGTGGGGATGGCTACAACAGACGTTTCGACGAAATTTTAGCAGACTTTATTGGCAAACAAAGATGTGTAGATGACACCATCCACTACGATGACGACCTAGTCAAACATTGGTGGCGGACAATCGAATTTCTTGAGCTTGTTGGCAAAGCTGGGATCATTTTGAACCCACAAAAATTCCAATTTGCTAAAAGAATAGTGGATTTTGCAGGTTTCAGAATATCTGAAAATGGAGTTGAACCACTACCTAAATATATCGATGCCATTAGATCATTTCCAACACCATCCTCAATAACAGACATCCGATCTTGGTTCGGCTTAGTGACCCAAGTATCACATTACGCTCAACTTCGAGAAACTATGGCCCCATTCAGAGTTCTGCTTAGCCCTAAATCAAAATTTTATTGGTCGGACGAACTCAACACTTTATTCAACGTGTCAAAGGAAAAAATTATCAATGCAATTAAAGATGGAGTCCAAATATTTGACATCACCAAGAAGACCTGTTTAAGATGCGACTGGTCAAAATTGGGGATAGGATATTACCTAAGCCAAAAACATTGTGAATGTAAATCGGACTCCCCAGATTGCTGTATAGACGGATGGAAAATAACCCTAGCAGGGTCCAGATTCCTGTCATCTGCTGAACAACGATATGCACCAGTTGAGGGCGAAATGCTAGCAGTGGCATGGAGCCTGGAGCAGACTAAATATTTCACACAAGGTTGTGATAACCTTATGGTAGTAACTGATCATAAACCACTTGTCAAATTATTAGGAGATAGGACCTTAGATGAAATTGCTAACACACGACTTTTCCGACTAAAACAGAGAACTTTGCCATGGAAATTTACCATCCAACATCAACCAGGAAAAACAAACCTGGCAGCAGATGCTACTTCTCGTTACCCTGCAGAGAACACAAAGGAATCTGATAATTCAGCCACTTGCAATCAAAATACTGATTTTGACAACACAGAATCACTAATAATAGCCTCGATACGAAACGACATAGATAAAATGATTGCAGTAACATGGGATAGTGTCAAAGCAGAGACAGAAAAGGATACCGATTTTAAAGCATTAATGTTAGCAATAGAAAACGGGTTCCCAAAAAATAAGGACAACTTCATACCAAATCTTTTACCGTTCTGGGAATACCGCAATGATTTGATGGTGTCCGACGGGGTTATAATATACAATGACAGAATTGTAATCCCACCTACTCTACGGAAAGAGATATTGGACGTACTACACTCAGCCCACCAAGGAGTATCGGGAATGACAGCCAGAGCTCAAGCCACTGTTTTCTGGCCAGGTATCACTCACAGCATACAAAGTAAGCGCGATAACTGTTGCAGCTGTAATCGAAATGCACCTTCTAATGCACGACTACCACCCATCCGACCTCACATCCCTGTGACACCATTTGAATGCATATTTGCTGACTATTTTGAATTCCGTGGCTGGGATTATCTGGTCATTGGAGATAGACTTTCTGGATGGACCGAAGCCTACAGAATAAAATCAGGAACATCAGAAATGAGTGCAAAAGGTCTTATCACATGCTTACGTAAACTATTTACAACATTTGGAGTCCCAGAAGAAATTTCAACCGACGGTGGCCCTCAATTCATCTCTGGAGAAACAAAAGAATTTCTACAACAATGGGGCATAACTCATCGCATTTCATCAGCCCACCACCCACAATCTAATGGAAGAGCTGAGCTTGCAGTTAAGTCAACAAAACGCCTCCTCGAAAATAATGTGGGACCAAATGGTGATCTCAATAATAACGCTTTTGTAAGGGCAATGCTTACAATAAGAAACACACCAGACCCTACTTGTCAGTTATCCCCCGCTCAAGTATTATTTGGCCATCCCATTCACGACGCCATGCCCAGGATAAAATCCAGAATACCTATGTTTAATAACGACCAATTCTTGAAAACGTGGAGACATGCATGGTCTGCAAAAGAAGAAGCATTACGAACAAGATATGCAAAGACCCTTGAATCACTTCAAGAACACACACGTTTTCTCACACCACTACATGAAGGAGACAGCGTCTTCATACAAAATCAAGTAGGGAACCACCCTAAAAAATGGGATCATAGTGGAAAAGTTGTTGAATGTAAGGAAAATGACCAATACATCATTAAGGTTGAAGGAACAGGTCGACTAACATTAAGAAATAGAAAATATTTGCGCAAATTCCTCAACCCACTAAAGTCATACGAAACCGAAGTTGCATTGACTACACCACCAAGAACAAGCTCTAGTCACTATAACTCTGCCGATTTGCCAACACCATTTACAGAGTATGTCCCAGAAAGTAGCAACAAAGTCATACCATCCCAACCGGAACTAGCACCATCTACAGTATTGCTACCGTCTTCTACATTAGCACCAGCAGTACCACCACTACCTCTACCAACAACTCCAGTACCCTTACCGTTGATGCCAGCATCTTTATCAACAAGCTCGCCGCATCTAGCGATGCCACCTGTATTAAATACTGAAATCGTAGAAGATCAACCATTGAAACGTTCATCCAGGCTACGTATCCCCAAAAAATTCTACCAACCAGAAACCGGGAAATCTTTGACATTAAATGACTTTAAGAAATGAACCCAGAAATTATGTTTATATTCATTGACACTTAAAAACATGGAAGGGGATGTAGAAATAGTGACATTATTCATTTCTTGTTTTTATATTGTTTTATATTGTTGTTGTTTAAACTTATTGTTATTTCATTTAGAAACTAACATTGTTTAAGATATAATTATAATTGAGAACAACGACTAACTTTTGTTTACTAATAACAACTTAATCTTTACAAGTAAAAGGAATAAAAAAAGTAAGATCAAGATTACATATATAAAATAAAGATATAGATCAAAATTACAACATAATATCTATTTATTATTTTTGTCTTTAATAAATTATCTAATATTGTCGATGAAGAGATTTACAATTCAACATGATCATGCATCCAACTAACTGCAGAAATATCAGATAATCATTTCATGGTTATTTTTTTAATTAGTAGTTATTTAAAGGTTTCAATAATTTTGTTATATAAAATTATTATTATTTAAAATATTTTAATATTTATAAGAGACTTTAACTATCTGAGATAGCAATTGATTAATTTGTACCAGACTTTAGTTAATAGATAACTTTAAAGTTATTATTATGTTATTATTATGTTATTATTATTATAGTACATGTATTAAATAAGTAGTGAACTGATAAGTTCACCACTTATTTAATGCATGTACTATAATATAATAACATAATAATAACCTCAAAGTTATTTATTAAGTAAAGTCTGGTACAAATTAATCAATTGCTATCTCAGATAGTACGTAACTTGAAGTTTTTATTCCTTTTGTCTGATTCAAGTCAAGCCTCATTTTACTCCATGGTTTTCACTTTTTTGTGCAACTATCTAATTTTCCTATCTATCCTATTCCTAGAGAAAAATTGCTGTTAAAGGTTATATAGTTGAAATTTAAAATTAAGATGATTGAGATACTGTGCATGTTTCTTCTATACTAATGATGGTTTTTCTGCCAAAATGTTGCGCCAATTCAATTGAGAGAGCTATTGCAAGATCCAAATTTCTATCAAATTCATTTGCCAGAAACCAAACAGCCCACTGTTCAAAATAATAATGAGAAGAAGAATATTGCTGAATTGTATCATAATAACAGATCAAATGATGCAGATTAGTGGAAAGTTGTTTGAGTGAACACTACTAGTTTTTGAGTCAAAAACAGACCAGCTAAATGTCAACATTGGAATATTAATTTTAAAAGGTCTACAGTTGTACAAAGATAAAAATTGTTTATACAACAATCTCTTTTTCGTCAAAGATAGTTAATTGATAACCTTTTGACCTATCCAGGCATAAAAAAAATATAGATAAAGTACAAATTTATTATTGCCCTCAAAAAGACTTTATCAATAGCGTTTTACCATATGAAATTAAGATAAAGCTTATTTTGTCATATATAAGTTAGGAATAAGTTTTATGCCAAATCAGCATTTATATAATTTTTACTTAAAAGACTGTATTTAGAAAAATCCAAAAATGTATTTAAAAAAATGAAAAATGCAGTAATTTATTTTTTATTAGTAGTGATATTTGATACCTGTTTTGTAAGTTATAGTAATGCCTAAAAAAAATTATGAAGGTGACATCACTTTAATAACCATTTTGCCCATGAAAACACCCCAAAATATATGCCTTTATTATTCAATTTACATGTTATTAAGGTTGACTAAAAATTTTTTCAATTTGATATTTGTATCCATCACATGGAAGATTGTCTATGTACAAAATTTTATGATGATACCTCATTTGGTTTATAAAATATTGTTATTAAAAGAGAAAAAAACATTTTGCAAAAAAATGCTAAGTCTGTATAAATAAGAAAATTGAATCCTAAATATCTGAAGAAGCATAAGGAGTTATAGATTTTAAATATCAGGTTTTCCTAATTTGACATTTTTTGTTTTTTTTTCCTGCTGATTTAACTTGGGATTACCCTTATTTAATGTATGTTGGAGCCAGTCTTTCACAGGAAGACCTGCGATCGCACATCATTTTTTTAATTTATATAATTATGTGTTTTTTATAATAAATGTTAATCTTTTGAAACGAATTAAAAAAAAAAAGTACTAATTTTAAAACAAAGAATGAAATGGTTTTTTAATGCGTACTTATTTAATTGTTTACATTTTCATGGAAACTGATATTTTTAAATTAGTAAAAAATACTATTATTTAAAAGTGTGAGCATATTTTAAAGAATCATTTTATCTATTATTTATATCAGTTTATATGATTTGTAATGTATGATTTTTCTTGATATGATTTGTAACTCAATTATTCACGATCTTCAAGCCAATATTGCTATTATACTATCTGTCCAATTATCTTTAAGAAATTTTTTGTGAACTTTTTATTTTTTTGTAGTTTTTTTAATTTAAATCTTGTTATTCTTTTATTATTGCATAACACTTTTTTATTTACTACGTAAAATATAAACTTGTAAAAATGTAACAACGTCTTTTTACCTCGGTACTCAACGACAAGACCTTACGGTCTTCTACAAGTTTCTGCGTTCTTTTTATATATATTAAATATCTTCACTTGTAATTATTTATATTTTTTATTTTAGCTTGTAAATTTTATAAAATATTAACGTCATGTTTCAAAATGTAATAAAGATTAATGTTTTTGCTTTTAGTTAAGTATTTTTTTTATTTTCTCTTTCGTTAAGATTTTTTTTTTTTTTTCAAAGTTTTTTTAGATAAGTTTAAGTAAATTTTTTTTGCTCAATTTTTAAATTTTAAAAACATGTCAAAATCTGTGGTCAAATCGTCAAAACAAAATATTTTTTGCGTGGTCATATAATTGCATGTGATCGCACGTCTTTCTGTGAAACACTAGTTGCAGCTGTTTGTTGTTTTACCTAGTAAAAATAACAATTTTGGTTTCGATAATAATGCTAACTTCCTGGCAAGACTTTATATTTGTCAAAGTCAAGAATTAAAAAAAAGGTTCATTTAATTTCTAAATAAAATAGTTAAAACAATAACAGCAAAGTAAATGTTTTATTTCTTAACAAGTTAATTTAAAAACACAACTAAAAAACAATTGTTTTATTCAAATTCTAAATAAAATAATAACAACAAAAAAACAAAAAAAATTATGAATAACTGTAACTCTCTATAAAATAACATGCATGTCGTAAATTTGATGTTTATTAATGTAGGATGTTCCCGATCTTTCACAAAGAGCTGGAACTTTAGTGCTTCGAGGTTTGTTTTTACATTTTTATTTTCTTAATTAACATGTTGATAAATAATTAGATATAATAGTTAAATAATAATAATTAATTTTTTGAATAGAATAATTAAGAATTATCACTTCCATTTTTATTTTAACAACTTTAATAACAAAGCTGTTGTCAAGAAATGCAAAGTTGCAGTTAGTGGAATAAGAAGTTATAGCTTCAGGCATCAAATAGCAGTTGTTTCATGGCTTTAGCTAAATAATTTGTCTTTATATTTAGAAAAATATAAGCACTTAAGTTATATTGCTTGCAGAAAATGATTTTTCTTTTTTAATAATAGTGTTTACAATATTTGAATTAGTTTTTTTAAAAGGGTGAATTTGCTCAAAACTTCTTAACTTCAAATCTTTTAAAAAACTCTGATTTATAGAAATATTCCTCAAATTTGAACGATTTATTTTAAAAATCTATAGTAGAATTATTTAAAATATTGTTTTTACACTATGCTAAATATGTTTTAAGTTTTTTTATAATATTATTTTGTATATGAGTTATTGTGGATATTCAAATATACTTTATAAGTATGATTATAATTATTCTAGATATAATTTCATATTAATTGTTATTATTCCTGTATTCCAATATTTCTATCATTTAAAGTTAATGTACAGTATATAATATCCAATTTTCTGATTAAATATTAATTCAGCAAACTTAGTTAATAGTATAGAACCTCTTATTTATGGGCATTTAGTTAATTACAAAAGAAATTACTATTAAAAAATGGCATAAAACCAAATTATTTTGAATTTTGACCTTTTCCTATTCACATTATGATCATTAGTGATAAATAAGTTCCTCCAAATAGGCCTCACCACTTGTGGTTGTTAAAAAAAACAGATGGAGATTTACGCATATGTGCAGATTACAATAGGTATAAACCAAAAGTTATGCTCAAATTCATATCATATTTCAAATATTGAGACTGTTTTACATAAAATGGCAGAAATAAAATATTTTGTTAAAATTGATCTCAGGGTAACTTTTCACCAAATTGAAATAGATAAAGGGTCACAAAAATTAATAACAGTTAACACCCTTATTGGAATGTTAAGATGGACATGCTTGGAATTATTTATTGGAATGTTAAGATGGACGCGCTTGCAAGTGCAATACTTCAAAGAGCGATTGATTCTGTTGTTGGTGTTATTCCTTATGTGATTATATTTCAAGATGATATATGTGTTGGTTAATAAAATGCTGAAGAGCTTAAATCTAGTTTAAGTAAAATTTTGAGCAAAATTTTACTCAAGCTAGATTTAAGTTCTCAAAATTTTACTCAAAATAGATTTATATTTGGTATATTGTCAATGAAACTGCAAAACCTCGTAACAGCAACTTTTGGGCTGTTATATTTTATTATTTAAAACGTTTCTATAAAGTGGTATCCATGTAACTGCAAAAGCTCTTAACAGTCAGATCAAAGAAATGATGTAATTTATCATGTGACATAATCATGTAATTACATACCCAAAATGTGAAAGCAAAACCATGTATCATCAATAGCAAAGCATTTCTGACAGTATTTTTGGTGGTTATACTAGTGTGCGAAAAATCGTTCAAAGATAATTTCCTTTATCAGCGTAAATCATGACAAATTTTTATTTTTAAACGACTACAAGAGAGGTACTAACAAGTGAGTATAATTTAAATTATTTAATAATTAGATATTTCTGTATAATTAGAGTGATTATGACGAGTTATAATGTGCCGTGCTAATACGTGATTTTGCACTTCAATATATTGCTGATACTTGATTTTGCAGTTAACCCACAAATTTAGAATCGCCACATTTTCTGATGAAATTAATAAGATTAATGGAGTTAGTTAAATTGCTAGTAAAATATAATTTTCTAATAAATATAATTAATTGTAAGCTCTATTTTTTGTTTTTATTTGTTTACTATTATTTTGTAAAAAGACATGCCTAAAAGTAAAGTCATATTATATCAATTTTATTATTAAAAATCTGATAATCACTTGATGTTAGTGTAAATATTTTCTATACTGTAAATCTATTTTCTTGTAGTCTTTTATGTATTGTTATTGTTGGAACATTCACGTGGTTACAAAATGATGTTGTTAACGAATTCAAAAAAAGTCAATCAACCGACTCCAGCTGTCAGTGAAACTGACTCTGGAAATAAAAAGGATCCAACATTAGATTCTAATGTGGTTCGTAGATTATGATAGACACAGCTAACATGTCTGATTTAATTAACTTTGAGTCAATTGATGGAGTTTTTGGCTCACCCGAAAATCAGGATCATAGTGAGCTCTTGACACAACACTTGTCTGAAACTGTTACGGTAAATGATACCGGTGCAGAAAATGAATCTAGTCATTCCAGCAATCTTCATGATTCTGGTTCAAACTATTCCAATGAACACAAGTCCTCAGAATCCTCCGACGATGATGAATCAGATGTGGAAAATTCACCGCTCTCTTCTGGTGCTGCCCGCGCATCTGTTGATTCACAAATGTCGCCAACTAGTCACAGGTCTCCTCAAATGATCAAGAACATCCCCCAAACTTTGAAATACAACCATCAACAACAAAGAAAACAAGATGCAAACAAGAGCAAGCTGAACCAAATAACTGGGAAAGAAAACGTAATGCTCTAAAGAGAATGAAAGGAGAAGAGTATAGAGGTTTGAAAAAAAAACCGTGATGGTAATTTTGTACAATCAGAAGTAAAAGCACCACGCAGTATAGGTCCTGTGTGTCAATCTAGTCGCTGTGAAAAAGCAAAAAATTGTTTTTGTCAAAGCTTTGATGAGGGAGATTTTTCTCAGCATTTTGGGGTAAAATGGACTGGGGAATGAAACAAACATATATTGTGACTCTTGTAGAATCGATGGAGCCAAAGTGAAAGACAGCCGTGACAATGCGCTGTAATTCAACTCTAAAGTATTTTTAAAAAAGGACGATAGAAGATTTCAAGTTTGCAAGAAGATGTTTCTTGCCACATTAGGAATGCGTGAGTGGCAGGTTTGTGACTGGGCGCAGTTTAGCTAGATGCTAGTGGTATGCACAAAACCCTCGATACAAAAGCTGTACCAAAGAGAAATTGTGGTAATACTCCAGCTGATAATGAGAGGAAAACATTTCTACTGACTTTTTTAAAAAATCTTCCCACTCTTCCATCTCACTACTGTAGATCTACAACTAATAAACTCTATCTTGAACCACCAATAATGTCCGCGATGGTCTTGTAATGTTTATACGGAAAGTCATTAAAAGCAAATTCTCCTCAACTGAAGCCACAATTGAGAACAATTGTAGCAGCTGAGTTTGAAGCTCTTAACTTAGCAATTTACCGTCCCAAAAAGATCAATATGATACATGCACGTCACATAAATTAGGTCATATTTCAGATGAAGTATACAATGTTCATCAGCAACGTAAAGAAGAAGAAGCTCGAAGTCAAAAAGCCGCATATAAAGGTGACTCCATTGCACATCCAGATAAGATTGCAGTGTTCACTATGGACGTCCAAGCTATCAAAATGGCTCCATTTCTTAAAGCCAGTGCAGTCTACTACAAAACAAAATTATGCGTTCATAATTTTACAATTTACAATGAGGCTAATGGTAACGTCACATGTTACTTATGGAATGAAAGCGAAGGAGGTTTAGAGGGAGATGTGTTCGGGAGTATGATATCGGACCATGTGACAGCCTTTATCAACTCAAACTCTACATGTATGAGGTTGATGCTGTACAGTGATGGTTGCTGTTATCAAAACCGAAACGAAAAGTTGTCTCAAATGCCTTGTTAGCTGTAGCAATTGAGCATAAGGTCATGATAGAACAGCACTACTTGAAAAAAGGTCACACCCAGATGGAAGTAGATTCAGTTCATAGTAAACTCGAACACCAATTGAGGAATAAAGAAATTTATTTGCAGATTGACTATGTTGGCGTATGTCGCGAAGCATGCGTTAAAAATCCATACTCCGTGAAATATCTAACAAACAACTTCTTTAAATCCTACGCACCGGTTTCGTACTATAAATCAATTAGACCTGGGTTTAAAACTGGTGATCCAGTAGTAACAGACATTAGGTGTATTATGTACACACCAGAAGGATTTCTGAAATACAAGTTATTGTATTCAGATGAATGGCAACCACTGCCTAAGAGACCAGCATGTGGTCCTTTCCTTCCAAATAGACTTTACTCGCAGCCACGTAAACTTTTAAAGATGAAATTTAATCATCTCTAGGAACTCAAACAAGTTCTGCCCTCATATTGTTGGGAGTTTTATAACAATCTTCCGCATGATTAATTGAGTATTATGACTTATAATATTAGTTGAGATTACTTTTATTAACGAAGATTGATCTGTATTAGAATATTTTTTAATGGGATTGATAATTATTGTCGAGAAATTTTTTGATGAGAAATTTGAGCGAGATATTTTTTGAATATTTTTTGATGAGATTGATAATTATTGTTTAAATATCATAATAATTATTGTGGCAACAGTCATAAATGTTTTTGCTATCGTAAAATGTCTTGTATAAAACATTGTAAGTTAACATTCGATAAATGGTAAAAAGGATCAACTAAATTACTGAACATTGAAATAATAGTTTTATTGAGCATTATATTTGTTGTAGACGCGTAATGATTTTGTTAGTTCTGTACATTCACATTTGAGTTGTGCACCTTACAATAATTATCTATTCACTTATTTTTATTATCGAAATTTACTGTGTTTTAGACTGATTTTAAGTACCGCATTGTATTAAATAATTATACGCATTATGGTTTACACATAAATGTTTCATGGAATATTAAATTTTTAATTGAATGTTTAGGTTTCTTACAACTAGTATCAAAACAAGTATCATTTAAATAAAATTAGAGCCCCAACAACAGGTTTTGCAGTTTCACTGACGATATATAGATATATACCGATTCTTTCATTTTGAAAGAACGGGAGATGAGTATCTATATACTCACGAAATCTTTATCAGATGCTGAAACAAGATATTCTAATATATATAGAGAAGCATTGGTAGAGAAGCTAACAAACTAAACAAGTAAAACAAGAGAGTTTAATTAGTTTTACTACTAATTTAAACTGTATTATTTGTCAGATAGTATGCTGCAAAACTCTTAGTGAGGTATTAGAACTTTTTTAATTAAAAATTCAAAGGTTCCTCTAATAGTAACAAGAAGAGTGGTTGGGCAATGGCTAGAAATATTTGAGTGATCTCAGTTTTTAAAAATCGGAATCACGGATGCCATTTTCCAGCTGGAAGGAAAACAAAATTCACTTGTTAATGTTTAGAGAATAATAAAAAATGTGATAAGAATGTTGTTTGAACCACAAGCCGTAAAAGAGTTCAAGTGTGAAATAACTTTAGCAACAGACCAGGACTGATTTAGATGTTTAACAACCAATTAACCTGTTTCTTTAGGTTGACAAGAAGGGTGTGATCATTAGATACAAGGTTAGACTCATGTATGAGAGAAGGAATATTAGATCTGTCTTTATTAATGACATTGTTAAAAATTTCTAAAGTTTTTAGAATCTAATTTCTGAGATAAAATACAAGATTTAGTAATCTTAAAATAATGGACCTTAGCATAAGACAATACCTTTTTGCACTGATTTTTTGCAATAATAAAAAGAGTTTTGTTCTTCAGAGAGTTGTTTTCGTGGAAAAGATAAAAAAATTGGATATTGGAAGTACTTAATAATAAGTATCAATTAAACAAGAAAAAGAAAACCCTGAATTTAATATATTTGAAATTTGAAACAAAAAAGTTAATGTCGATAAACATGAAAAGCATGTAAAAAGAATTTTATGGTGTTAAAAACTCTGTTACTTGAATGCAAACTCGGCAATTATTTGTCGACCTCAGAATTTTAAAACTTAACTTTATTTTTTGTTTTAAATAGATTTATAACAGCAACAAAAACAAACATTTTATTTTAATTCTTAATAAAATATTTAAAAAAAAGACAAAACAAATGACAAATGTTTTATTTAAAATCTAAAAATTAGTTAATATAAAAACAGAAAAAGAACGTTTTATTAATGATCTCATTATCAGATCTTATCAGGGTTATAAGATATAAGATATAAGATAACGAGATCTGATATAAGATATTGAGATCTGATATAAGCTCTGATAATAAAATAAATTGAAAAACAGTTAAAAAAGTAAAACAGTTAAAAAATAGTTAAAAAACTAAAAAAAAACAGCTAAATGTTTTATTTAAATTCTAAACAAGTTAATTTAAAAACACAACTGAAAAACAATTGTTTTCTTTAAACTCTAAGTAAAATAATTAAAATGAAAAAAAGAATATAAAAAAAAAATAAAAGCCATGTTTTATAATTCTTAATAAAGAGTTTTAAAGTTAAAGTTAACTCCCACTTATTTGCTGAGCAATTATTTATTAGTTGAATGAATAGTAATATAATCCAAAATTCATAAATAAGAATTTTTATGACAAGGTTGTAACCACATTAGCATCCTTAACTGTAGTGGCCTGGAGGAGTTTAATGATGTAAAAAAAATATATATATATTGAATAACTGTAGTTCTATAAAATGATATGCATATTTTAAATTTGATAATTTATAATGTAGGATGTTCCTAATCTTTTACAAAGAGCTGGAACTTAAGTGCTTTGAGGTTTGTTTTTAAAAAAGAAGTTAATGTAGTTGCAATTCTTTGTGGTAGCAGGCTATAGGATAGTTAATGTATGCATTAAAGCCCCCCAGCAGAGCATAAAAACAGCAATAAAAAATCAATAGAAAATCACTTATCAAATTTTTTTCTTTTTACATTGTGTTTCCTTTATAAAAACTCATTCAGAAATCTTCTGATGAGTCTTTATTCAAAAATTTACTTAACTTATAATTTACTGAATAAGCAGTTTTTTTTTTCTATATTCACTTTAAAAATATCTATGCCACCATAGTCAAAAAAGCTAATAGTTTTTATATTTTTTATAATTGATATATCCTCTCAACCTTAAAACTCATGCAAAGAACCAAGTTAAGAATGGTATTTCCAGGGTCTGTAGGTCTGCATACCAACTGGATGCTTTACCACTTTTCAACTATTCCTTTTTTATTAATAATTATTTTTTTTTTTAATTTTTAATTTTTAAAATTAATTAATAAAAATAATAGCTGGTCAACGATCAACAACTGCCCAAAATGACTGAAATTGCTATTTTGACCTCTCAAAATGAATTCTTGCCGGTCATGTTTAACAAGTTAAAAAAAATCAGAGTTTTGAAAAAAAACATTTCAAAAATAAACATGATGTAATTTGGAAAATGCACATACTAAAGTTTTATAAAAGTTTAAAAAACCGTTAAAAATAGTTTTATTGTTAACGACATGCTACTTTAATTTGCTTTGTTGGTGAATACATGACGTTAACTATATCTATTATTTATTTTGCTTCATTTCTTTAGGTTACTTTCATTTTACTGGTGGTAAAAATCCTTTTTTCATCAATGATTGAAGTTCTTATTTTATTATTATTTTAATAAAAATATTTTATATATATCATTATTATATAAAAATATATAATAGTTGCGGTATTTAACTAAGAACATTTTTTCATTTAATGTTTTTATTCACCTTTTTTTTTCTTCAAATCTATTTGTTTTCTTTTTGCTGCTAATAATAAATGAATGAATAATTTATAGATAAATTTAAATTTTCTATAATAGGAATCTTAAAAGGAAATATATTGTAAAATCTTGTTTTATGTAACAAGTAATTTTTATAAAACTGTTTCATAAAGCTGTTTCATAAAACAATTGTATAACCATTTATAACAATTACAAAACTAATTAGTACCAAGTATCAAGTTTAAATAGTATCTGCGCAGAAGAGTTAATAACTTTATTCATAAATAATTTCAAAATGATTTTAATGAGCAAGATAAAAAACTATTTATATCTTTACTCCATAAAATCAGAGATAAAATTATTATTTAAAAGTTTTGTATGTAACTGAAAACAATTTCTTTTCCAACTGTATTTTTTTTTTTTTAGTTTAATCTTTTTTACTTGCTAAAGCGAATGAATTTATTTTTAAATAAATTTAAAATTTTAAGTTGTGGGTTGGCACATTTTTTTTTTTTTTCCTAATATCGAATATTGTAATAAATTCATCAAACATCAACCTATCTTAATAGAGGCAAATAAAAAGAGAAAACTTTTATTTGTCTCTTATTTAAAACATTTTTATTCTTTAGTAAACTATTAAGATTTGCAGGTAATTTGAACATTAATTACTTGTGAGTTTAAATTTTAAAAATGTATTAATTTTATTTAAAATTAGTATTTTTAAAAGAATACCAGTTTGTTAATTTTTAAACATTAAGTATTTTTGTGTGTATAAGTTTCGGTCATGACGAACTATTACTAATATGAAAATTTAAAAAAAGAAAAAAAAATATTCTGAGCATAATAAACTACTATAATAAAAAAAGTTGTGAATTTTTATAAAAGTTTGATCTGCTGCAATTTTTGGAAAAAAAAATTACTACAAGTAAATTAAATTATTTATTTTCTTGACCTTCAATTATATTAAGTGAAATGAAAATCTTAAACTTCTGCCTTATCTTTGTAACATCTATTATTTATCTAAGTAACATCAAAATAACAAAAGTAACAACAAAAGTTATTTTTGATTGTTAATCAAATCTTAATTCAAACCTGTACCAAAAATTACAAACTTTGCTACATGTACCTTTCTATCATTTATCTCACTTGAAACACCTGTTTTCTCATATAAATTTTTAAGTTTTTTTTAATGCAAATTTAGTATTCAGAATATTCAGAAAGTTATAAAACAGTTTCCAATGAAATGCATTTTGCATGAAACATAAATACATAAACAAAATGTGTTTATACACTCTTTATATATTTTATATATTATATTTAGGACATAGCGTCCGTGCACTAAATTTCCTTGACAAGTTTTAATAACATATTTTCTTATCTTTCTGTAAAATTGTTTGTTATTTTTGTTTAATAATATTTTGTTTAGGTTCACGGTTGGACAATAAATCATGTGAAGCATTAGAAACAATATTTAAAAGAGTACAATATGAAAATTTGGATATTGAGAACTGTTCTCTTGAAGAAGAGGTTGCTTTTTTAACCTTTTTGTAAATTGACCTGACAAGTGTTTTAATGGCTTTCTTAGACTTTGCGACTCTTAACGACTTTTTTAACAAAATCAAGTACACTATGTAAAAACCATTGAATTTAAATGAGGACTAATTATTATTTTTTTTTTTTACATACATGCATACATACATACATACATACATACATACATACATACATACATACATACATGCATACATACATGTAAACATACATACAAACAAACAAACAAACATACATAGCTGTACATTCAGGGATATAAAAGTTGATATATAAGAGTATAAAAGAGGATATATAAGATAGTTTACTTTTTTCATCCAGGGTTTTCCATGTTTAACTCAAACTTGACGCAGTTTCTTCTCAAAAGTTTTACATTTAATTAAACTTAAAGAACCCCAAAAGTATTCACTTAAGTTAATACCTGATAAGGAGTCTCTGATTACTTTCTGGATTACCAAGTGTAAGAAGCGTTGAGCTGCTTACCAAGTGTAAGATGTATTGACCTGCTTACCAAGTGTAAGAAGCGTTGACCTGTTTATTATAAAGTAATTATTTATTTATGAATCTTTATCTATATGAGGTTTTCAAGCTGAGGACTCATCATTTTTCCATTTTAGAGTAACTATGCCTGAGATGCTTTTACCAGCCTTACAGAAATTAATTTTTTCCTACAACCAGGGCATAATCCTGTGGGGCAGGCAAAGACTTTCAGTAAATACTTTGGCTTACATTTATTATTTGATAAACTTCTTATTGTTAACTTTTCAGCTGATTTTAAATGTCACTTTTCTAAATACATGATACCTCCCACATTTTTCTAAAGATGGAAATGCTGTGTCACCTCTTACTATTTTTTTTTAACTTTTTTGGGATACTCTGAGTGTAAACATAAACCTTCAATTTCTGAACATGTTTTTTTTTTTTATTATTTTTTACCTGGCTCTATTTAATGATTATGATGGTTATTTTAAGTAACTGTAATACTTAAAGCAAAAATATTGTTTTGATGTTTAACTATATTGAAAGAAATATTAACGTTTCTAGTTATTATATCAAATTTATTTTCATGAGCAAAATTTGATTTATTCATAAAAATTAATTATCATTTAATTAATTTTCAAACTAAAGTTAGAAAAAAATATGTTATGATCTCAAACTGCGTTTATTCCACCATTCAAAACCATTTTTGTATCATTATATATTTTTAATTATTCAATTGCTGCTATGTCCAGACTTTTATTAGGGCTACTTTGTAAAAAATTGAGTGCTCTATGTTCTTAAAAGAACAGAAAAATAATAAACAGGGTGTTAACCAGGAACAAATTTGATACAGCGCTTTGACGAAATTGGGATTTTGTCAAAATATTTCCCTATCTTCCTCCCCTTCTCCCAAGATTTAATTTTGTTCTAGGAATGCGTGGGGTCATTTTCTTATCTTCTTTCCTCTTCTAATCCACTTCAGCGCGATTGGACAGCGCTAAAAATAAAATAAAAATACCGTCTGTAACATTAATCAAAGATGAATATGAAATCAACATAAATGTGGCTTCGCAACGACACGGCAAATTAAACTCCGATTTCCAAAGATATATTAAGAATTGTATTTTTTTATATTATTTTAATCAGAGTATATTAATTAATTAATTATTATTAAGAATTAAATATTTGATTTATTTTTTATCTTAAATATTTAATCTTAAAGGGATCCCTAAGTGCTCCTAACATATGATCTCATATGAAATAGCATAAAAAAAAAACATGTAAGTTTTTTTTCTTATTCACTAAATTGTAATTATAAATGCATGCTAACAAAAAGCAATTACCAAAATCACTAAAAAACAACTCCATTTTGATTTTATTTTTTCACCATTGAAACTCGATTGTTAGTCGTTAAAAATCACGTTAGTACGTCACAACAACTTTAGAATATCTACTTCAATTTTCAAGTAAAAAAAAGTCATGATTAAATACTTAAGTTTTGATCAAGTTTTTTTAATTAGTTTTGCAAAAACAGTATAATAGCATTCGGTTGAAAGACGTCATTAAAAAAAAGTTATAAGTAATAGTTTTAAATAGTTTAGAACTTATAAAAAATTTTTCTAGCTTAGCATTTTTTTTATCAATTCTTAAAAGTAATGTTTTTATCGTAAAGAACGTCACACTAAATTTATTATTCTGAATAGATAGATGAATAGATGATTTGCTCTTTCGCGCAGATTTCTTTCAATGTAAAACATTTTTTAATTTAAATTACTTTTAATCTCTGCGTGGAAAATTTTTACAAGGTCGTTAAAGCGAAAAGTTGAAAAGTTGGTTTTTATCTTTGTTTATCAAAACTCCATGTTTATAATAAGGCTTAAAAACGTTAAAGAAAAAAAATTCCTGACTATTATTTGCATTTTTATACTGTTTGAAAAAAAAAACTAATAAAAAAGAATTAATATATAATTATTAATTAATATATTATTAGTTGATTCTTTTTTATTAGTTTTTTTTTTCAAACAGTATAAAAATGCTAATAAAAACCAGCAATTTTTTTACTTTAACGTTTTTAAGCCTTATTTTAAACATGATTATAATTCGATTTATTAAACCAAATTTTTTTGTTTTATCTTTTATTGGAAAACTTGAAATAGAAAAATTGAATAAAAACATCAACCATTTAAATGAAAAACTTAATTATATTTAAACTTTTATTAGTCTTTTGTTCAAGAAACAATCAATTATAAAAAACGTGGTATCTAATTTTTTATTAAGTTTTTGACGATGTGTTTTGATTTATTAACGATAATTTTTTTCCCCCATTACCGCACATCCGCGCGAGCTATAAGAGAGAGAGAGAGGGGGGGAACAGAGAGAAAATTTTTTTTTTTTCGCGATTAGATTTTTTTGCGTTGATTCGAGCCCTGTCTTAGTTTAATTTCTAATAAAATGTCTATTCAACCTTATCAATTTGAACCAAAAAAGTATAGCAATTTAACTAAAACATTTTACAATCATTATTTTTTTTATCAAGCAAAAATAAGAGTAACCGTCACTTTTAAAACCATATAAATTACTGAAATAAATTTATTTTTTTACTAAGGAAATATTTTAAATAAACTTTCATATGTCTAAGTCAATATTCATTTGTTTTTAACTGACTAAAAAGAGTTTAAAATTTGACTTCTATTCATTTTTAGCCGTGGAATTGCCCTTATAACACAAATATATAAATTAATATTATAAAAAAAATTTTAATATACAAATATATTTTCACAAAATGCTACAAAACTTATTCTTGTAAGTAATTATGTGTTAGTTAAAAAAAACGACTTTACTTTTAAATTTAATTACCAACTAATAAGTTTGCAATGATGACATTTTGTCTACTTTGTTTAATTTGATGTACTAACGTTAGTTTTTTGAGGCAATAGAGTCAATAAACTTTGGACAAGACGCATTTTTTTTAATCGAAGAAAAGCGTTTTTTTGAAAATTAAATTTGTTAGTGTGTGTTTGTTATTACGTTTTAGAAAAAATAAAATACATCAAACATTTTTTTTTAATGCTCTTTCATATGAGATCATATCTTTATAGCACTTAGGGATCCCTTTAATATATATTTGCCACTTTCATTTTAAGATTATTCTATTAAATATTTATTTTGTTTTTCACTAGTGCCCACTTGTTTAATTACAAAAGAATATTGATCGCAAGCGACTGCACGCTTTCGTTGCAACGAATAACACCTATAATTATTTTTTCTTTCATATTCATAGAATGTTATTATGACTTATGGTTCATTGAAGCATTTAACTTTGCTTTTAAGTTTTAAATTCAAGCAAGCGGCAAATCTAGTTTTCTTGTTTTTTAAACTTCTAGTAACAGCTAGTTGTAATAAAAAGAAACTTTCTTGTTATTAAACTTTTTTTTTTATATATTATTTTATTTAATTTACCTATTAATATATTATTCATTTATTATTTTTTAATTTACGTTTTATTATACGCATTTAGTTTATGTTTTGAATGCATGCAAGCAATAAAGTAAAGAAATCTATTTTCCTCGCTAAATAAATTTCTTGGACCAGTTTGTTATAATCACAAAAGATTTATATTTCATAGGTGTTTTTTTTTTAAAGTTTGTCGAGAAATGTTAGTAAATGAGTAAAAAATGATTTTAGCCGATGCCGGTAAGTAAAATAAAATTATAGTCGATGCGATCACCTAATTTAGTCGATTTTAAATACCAAACAAACAAAAAAAAACAATAACTAAGACATTGATCAAAACTTCGAAAGTATATTACGTAAATGGCTTCTCGATATTTTCAATAAACTTTGTTGACGAAGCGCAGGTACTATTTGAGGTAGAGTTTGCCGTAAAACTTAGTCAGTTATTTGAATTTTCAGCCAAAATGGGCAAAGCTTTTAAAGAAATAGTTTTTGCGGGTGTTAAACCAAACAAATTTGTTGGTTTTTTAAGATTGAACTTTATTTCTTGCTAACCTTTTTATATATTGTTTGTTGTAGTTGAAAGGCATTGCAAAGAATTATTTGCAAATTTTGAAAAATAAATTTTGCCGAAAAAAAACCCTAAAGATGCTGGGAAAATTCCAACCCTATCAAGAGACATTTTATATATACAATAGCGTTGTTAAACCAAAAACAGCAATTTTATTTCAAGTTGTACACAATTAATAAATTAGAATTTCTTGATGTTATTTTTCTATTAGTATTTAATAATAATTAATTTTCATAAGTTCATAATTTTTAGAAATATCAATAAATTTTAATTTATGATTTGGCAAACTTTATTTGGAGAATGGGATTTTTTTGCTTTTAAATTGGGAATTTTAATATTATGAGCATTTGGGATTACCGCGTTTGACGGGACCCCACAGGGCTTTACACCCTGATAAATTAGAAGAAAAACACTTAAAAAATATTTTCATTTAACATTGTGTTTCATCAATAAAGACTCATCAGAAATAAATCATATACAGGCCTTGTTTCAAAGCGTTAAGCTGCCAGCAATTTATGTACAAATTACGTACGCGTAGAGCGATTTCCATGAAACAACTTTTGATATTTTTTTAACTTTTAAATTACTCTATTAAACAGTAAGATAAAAGAAGTAATTAATTTTATACCACTTTGACGATTATGTAAAAAAGTTTGAATGACAAATTATGTTAGATGTAAGCACTATTTACTAATGAAAAAAATAAAAGCGCTATTTACTAATGAAAAAAATTAAACTACAAAAACTTAATCTCTATTAAGCAAATTATTTTATTGAACAGAAAGCAAAATTGCTTATAGTTAACGTTTTTAGTTTTTTTTTATGCGAAGTTATTAAAAAAACAAAAAAACATAAAAGTAATATATATAATAAAAACTTTTATTTATCATCTTGAGAGGGCAAGAATATTAATGCAACTTTTGATTGCATTAAAAAAATTTACTTAATTTCTATATAGTAATAAATATTTTATACTTAATTTTTTTTTTATTGTAATGATCAGTTTTTTTGCTTGAAAAAAGCTAATACTTTAAACTTGAAGCAAAGATCATCATAATGTAATTTAATTCCGATAAAAAAAATAAATGGTTTAATTCAAAACTAATTTAACAAAAATATATAATTTCATTCTTATAAAAAAAAAAGTAATTTAATTTCGATTTGTTTATATATATATATATATATATATATATATATATATATATATATATATATATATATATATATATATATATATATATATATATATATATATATATATATATATATATGTATGTATATATAAATATATATAGTCTTTTTCGACTACAATTTTTTTACCTTGTCTCTTAAGCTGCATTTTATTGCTGTCGAAATGTCAAAGCAATTAAATTAATGCGGAAGTACATTAAATTTTATTGTTTTAAAAAAACTGCAATAATAATGACAAGACAAGAAAGTTTTTTTTAATTAGTGGTGTTTTTGTTTTATTAAAAAACATTTTTATAAAAAAGTGTAAGTGTTGGTACATAGACTATCTTATAGCCTGCTGGTACAAGGGAGTGTTGCTACATCGACTATCTTATAGCCTGACTGGCAACGGAGTGCTGCTACATCGACTGACAAATAGCCTGACTTGCAAGGAAGTGCTGCTACATCGACTGACAAATAGCCTGACTCGCAAGGCAGTGCTGCTACATTGATTGACAAATAGCCTGACTCGCAAGGGAGCGCTGCTACATCGACTGAGGGTTTGGTTTGGGCAGGCAGTCTATCATTTAAAAAAAAATTTTTTTTTTTGAAGTTTTTTAACATTTTCTAGTCAGGCTTATTAATGCGCTCTTTAAAACAACAGTTTATGGGAAAAATTATGTGACTACCATGCAAGACTATATATATATATATATATATATATATATATATATATATATATATATATATATATATATATATATATATATATATATATATATATATATATATATATATATATATATATATATATATATATCAAGCCTTCCCAGGAAAGGCATGAGGTTTTTCATCTCGTATGACCACATGCGATTATATTATTTTAGAAAAAGTGAACACGGCTGTTTGCAAGTTTTATAATAATGCTGAAAAAGTTTCAAAAACAAAAAAGACATAACTAACAAAATAAAAAGAGATTGAAATCGAAAAAAATAAAAACAAATTAATAATTTAAATAATTTGTGTACTGTTTTTATTTTTGTTTCTTTAGAGTTACATTCAGCAACAAAATTAGATAAAAAACAGTTTGAAGTCTACAATAAAAAGAATAATTTTCTTTTTCTTAATTTTTTTAAGAGGATAACAAAAATACAAATTTCAATGTGTTTGTAAAATTTATTTGTATAATTTTAATGTAACAACAAGGGTTGAATTAAGCGAATGCAAATCGCAAAATCTGGAAAAATATTTACTATTCAAAATTTTAGTTTAAACAAAACCGTGTTCCTTGTTTTTAAGGGGAGACTTAACTTTGTTAGCAAAAAAATAAAAAATAAAACAATAAACTTACGATTACAAAAGTAATAACACTATAATAGTGTTATTACTTTTATACGCACTTATAACTTTTAAAATTCATTCTTTGTTAAAGCAGCATCAGTATTCCCAAAATTTTAATTGAAGTAGAAAAATATGTAGAAAAATAAAGTGGAAGTTCAAATAATATTAAAACTAAAGTAACTTATAAAAACGTGACAAACAACTTTATGAAAATGTATCGTATTGAAAGCTTAGCATTATGAAAAATCTTACTAATGGGCCGTAAAAACGCGCATTAATTTTAAAATTGACTAGTATAAAATTTTAATTGGTTGATCTTAAAATTAACGCGCTTTTTTACATAACGTTTTTCATAATGCTATACTTTTCATAAAGTATTTTTTTATAAGATTGTTTAAGTGATCTGTGAAAGTTCCTGAAATTTTTAATAATATTTGAATACCCGCTTTATTTTTTCTAGATTCTTTTCTACTTTAATAAATGTTTGGAATTAATATTATTGTTTGAACAAAGAATGAACTTTAAAAATAATAAGTGTTTTATAAATGTAATAACACTATTATAGTTTTATTACTTTTATAATGCAGTTAGTGACTAAAGTGTTATTACTTTTGTAGCCGCAAGTTTATTGTTTTTGTTTTGTTTTTTGTAACTTTCTTGTTAGAAAACTTTTAATAGTTTGCTCCTTATAAACAAAGTACACAGCTTTGCATGAGCTAAAATTTTAAAGACCTAATTTTACCAGAGTTTGCAAATGGCTATTGTATAATTTAACTCTTGATATAAACATGTTACATTGTAATTATACAAATATATTTTACAAACTGACGATACATATTTTCTCTTTCCTCTTTAAAAGAAAAAACACTTGAAATATGGGAAAGTCATCCTTTTTAACGCCTAAAACCGTTTTTTTTTGGCTTTGGCTTTATGAATTTTGTTGCCGATAATAATAACCACTAAGAAAAAACAAAAATAAAAACAACACAAATTATTTAAACTATTGTTATTGTTTTCTATTTAAGTTTACTTTAATTTCTTATGTAGTTATTAAATTTAAAACAATTTTTTTCAGCATTGCATATAATATAACTTGCACAAACGGCCGTGATCATGTTCTCTAACTTGAAAAACGTTTTTGTGGTCGTACAAGACGAAAAACTGCTTACCTTTCCTGGGAAGGCTTGTATATATATAATATAATATAACATAATATAATATAATATTATATAATATAAAAATAATTATATGTTGCTTTATTTGTTTTAAGGGAGCTTCAGCATTAATTGAAATGATTGAGTTTTATCGTACTACCTGTAAATTGAATATAGCATGTAATCCTAAAATTGGTGTTAGAGGATGGCAAGCATTATGTCGTATGCTAAGAAAGACACCTTGTTTAACATATTTAGATGCTAGAAGGACATTATTGACAGATGTAACAATGGCATGTTTTGGTAGATGTTTAAAAGCTGATCCCTACCTTAAAGTATTGCATTTAGAAGGAGTTTTTTTGTCAGGAAGATCCCTTCTTATTCTTAGTAAGTTTGTTTCATATACTTATATATTTTTTCTAATCGGAGTAAATTACTACATGAGTTGTAAATCTTAAGCATGGCTTATCTCTTGCCTACATAATTTTTTTCCTGAGCACAAATTAACAATAAAGTTTTATGTGGTGAATAATAAATTTATTTGTTTATATTCTTGTGTTTTAAAAAATTTTCTTTAAACATTTAGGTTAAACTGACTTAAAAAGGTTGTTACAGTATAAAATTTGTATAGTATGTAATGTTGTATTATTATTAACTTATCTCATGTTAACCCAGGTTTGTACATGTTATTATGTACAAACATGGTTTACTCAAGCTTTCACAGGAAATGTATACGGTCGCACATATAGATTGGCCACACATTTAATGTTTTGTTTTTGTAACTTTACCATGGCTTTTTGCATGTATTTGTCATCACTCTGTATGTTTTTAAAATGCCCTGAGAAACTAAACTTAAGAGATAATTAGAAAACACACTGTAAACTGAAAAAAGATGAAAGAGTGAATAAAAATAAATATGAACAAATATATCCATAAAAATAATATATATTTTTTTAAATGTAATCATTATTTGTATGAGCCTACAAATAATAAGCCCACAGAAACATTTGTACATGAAATATGTTTAAGTATAATAAGTTTTTAGTTGTCAACACGCTAGCTTAACACTCCAGAAGCAACTATTTAAACTTGTGGTGCTACTGTTAGATCTGTAAATGGTGTGGGTATAAATCCTATTCATGGATATTTTTTTTAATGTTTAATTCACTTAGACAAAAAAATATCAAAATTAAAATTTTTTAAATAGTTCAATTTCAAAGTAATTATATTTTGAATTAAATATCTTTGAAAAATCAATATTTTCTATTAATTACAATTAATAGAATAATAAGTCTATTAATTAAATGGCTTTTAAATTAAAAAAAGACATGTATGTTACTTTTATAGTTTTATTTTTTCAAGTTTTAAAGTTTTATTTTTTCAAGTCTTTTATTTATGTTCTTATTTGTTAAGATTTTTTTTTTTTTTCTAGTTAGCAGTTGTTTGTTTTTTTAATTGTTTTTTAGTTTTTCTTTAGTTTAATTTTGTTCTTCTTTGGTTTTTCCATTGCACTTTTAAAACACACAAACTGTCAAAACTTGCCAAGAGCCATGGAAAGGACCGCACACATCTGTGAAACACTTGTTAACTTGTGCTTAATATAAATGTAAATAATATATATATATATATATATATATATATATATATATATATATATATATATATATATATATATATATATATATATATATATATATATATATATATATATATATATATATATATATATATATATATATATATATATATATATATATATATATGGGAATAAATGAGCACGAGAGCTGAGAAAAGCTCTCCTAAAACAAACTTTGGCAAGCTGCTCCTCATTTAAATGGGCTCTCTTTTTTATATTTAATTTTTTTTTTTTTTTTTTTTTGCAACAATCGTGCTTTTTAAAAAGCATTGCAGAATATTATGCAACTAATTTTTTTTTAAATGACATTGTGTTTTTTATTTTAGTTACATAATAATTATACTTTCGTAAAAAGGATTATACTTTTGCGAGAGCCATAAATTGCTCCCGTAGACCGTTTTAGGGGAGTGTGGGCGAGAGCTTTAGCTTATATATATATATATATATATATATATATATATATATATATATATATATATATATATATATATATATATATATATATATATATATATATATATATATATATAAGTATTAAGGTGGTTCTTAAAATAACTTTTTTGAAAATGACTGCTGGCACCCCCTGAATATGTTGTATATAATAAAAGAATGCTGGATTTAAAAAATTTTTGAATAAAAAATATTTTAAGGGGTCGCTACCAACCCTCAAACATTAAATAGGTCCCTAATACTATTAAAAAAAAGTTTTTCAAAATTATGTCATGTTGGGTCTCAAATGAAGCAAAGTTATATAAAAATATCAAAAATAATATTCATTTTATAAAAAGACATTGATAAAAAAAAATTATAATCAAAAAATCTTGTTAAATTCCCTATTTTTGGTTTTTAGTTAAAAAATGTAATTTTCTGTTCACAAAAATCTAAAATTAAAATTTAATTATAAAATGATTAACATTTTTAAAATTTTTATATAATTTTATTAATAAGAAAATAAAAATATAACAATAATATATATATATATATATACATATATATATATATATATATATATATATATATATATATATATATATATATATATATATATATATATATATATATATATATATATAATAATTTTTTTTCGTTTTTATTACAATATATTCGATATGGTTCTAATTGAAACTTTATATTTTAGGAGAATTTAAAAAAAAAAAAATTGTTTTTTTTTAATGTTAATTAAAATTATTTATATTATTGTTTTTTTTTATTTGTTTATGTATTCTTATTTTGGTTGACATAAATACAAATAAATAAATAAAAATAAGAATTATATAAATATTTTTATTTAGACATTGCATCAACATATACCCCTCTCCATTCTAAATATTTTTAAATGTTTTTAAATCAAAAACATTTTAAAATATTTAAATGTAAATACTTTGCAGCATTTTAAAAATTAAACCTTATGAAAATAAGGCAGTATGCATAAACATAAAAAATGTAAGTAAAAACTTCGACAAACCAATTCAAATGACTCAATTAAGTATTAATAAAGTTGTAAAACTAAAGTTATTTTTTAAAGTTGCTCTTGGTCTTGCAGAAAAACTGTTTCGATTTGATAACTTTCATGAATGTTATGTAAAATCACTTAGGAAGTGTGCCACCAGTTTTTTAAAATTTCCTATGTTAATAATTTTTAATGGATGAGTTCAATAATTTTGCAACTCTTGTTATATAGCTCTAACTCTTAATAATAGATATAAAAAATCCAAAAATAAAAAAAAATCAATTTATTTTCCTTAGCCGGTCACCACTGACAAATTTTTATGTATTTTTTAAATTTGTATAGAATTCTCAACATCTTGTAAATGTTTCTAATACAAACCCCTTTACTGATTTGCAGAAATCTAAAAGTTGAAGCAATTTTTTTACCTTGTCTTCTTTGTAACATAAGTTAAGTGGCATTTTCAGTTATAAGTTCATCCTCTTTTGGCCAGACTCAAAACTTTTAAGCTTATTTTTTCATTAGATAGCTATCAAAATAGAATACAATACAGAATAGCTAAAAGTTTAATTTAATGTTTAAATCGGCAAATATTTGATAGAGTTGTTGCGCATGTAATGTAAGTTAAAAACGGAATTGCCCATATATATATATATATATATATATATATATATATATATATATATATATATATATATATATATATATATATATATATATATATATATATATATATATATATATATATATATATATATATATATATATATATATATATATATATATATATATATATATATATATATATATATATATGTATATCTTTATGTTTTTGTTTTCTCATTAATAAAAATATATATACATTATTTTTATGTTTTTATTTTCTCATTAATAATTATAAATATAAATTATTAATAAGAAAAATTTTATGACAAAGTAGTTGAGTTTTTTCAGCGCGTTTTTAAATGTGCCATTTTTTATATATGCAAAAAAAATCATGGCCAAGTTATCAACAAAAAATTTATATGCGTGGTCATTTAAAGCGTGCGATCGCAAGCTTTGATTGTAACGTGTCTCCTGAGAATGCTTGACTTCACCTAATGAAATTGCAAAATAAAAATGCTGTCCGAAGTTACTATAGCTTTCTCATTCTTTGGCATTTTATGTTGTTGTCTGCAACAGATGAGATGCTTTACACAAAAAATGACAGTAAAACCTTTTTTTTGTGTGTAACTTAAGTTACTAATACTATTACTAATATATGTATATATATATGTATATACGTGTATAGATATATATATATATATATATATATATATATATATATATATATATATATATATATATATATATATATATATATATATATATAAATATATATATATATATATATACCCACCTATTGGAATTAGGGTTGGCATTTGGCAATGCTGAACCAAAAGTCTTTAAGGTTGGCAATCTTTTGCCAACCTTGTTTCAATGCTGTCATGGTAAAACCATTGTGTTATAAATTTCATGCCTGAATTACTCTTTTATTCATGGTATGTATCCATTTTTTGAATAATTTTTCAGGTTAGTAATTGAATATTTTTTATATAGCAACTGCCATGAAGTACAATCACATATTGGAAGAATTATATATCGGTGACAATGATTTGACTTCAAGTGATGGTCCTCCACTTGGTGCAATGCTTACTTATAATACTACTTTGCAGTTGTTAGATATTCGAAATAATCCGATTAAAGTAATTTATTTATTTTATTATAAAACACTTGATTTATAAATGATGTTATTAACACTCTCTTTTAAAATTCTATTTTTTGCTTGTTCTTAGTATTCTTTTCTTGCATTTTCATTGTAAAAGGTTTATGATGTGTTTTAAATTTGTTATTATTGTCTTTTTTAAATATTTATAATTCCCTTTTTATAGATTTTTAATCACATTATTACAAAACAGAAGTTAATTTTTATATAAAGTTTCAGGCTTGTTGTTCTTTTTAGTTCTTTAGTTTCAGCATTTGTACTGATCCAGTATTTTTTAGAACTTTAGTTCCTTTTTGTGAATCAGAAGTTTTGCTGCTATGTTATAGCTTCCAGAAATTGACTATGAGGCTCAACTCAATTACAGATGTTTGCATGCAATTAGCGACAATAGGTGTTGAATTTGTTTTGAAACTATACAAACTGTACAAGTATCTTATCATCTTTTTGTATTTGCTGAAGTTGTAAAACAAAGACAAATAACTTTATCATCTATTCTAAAAAATTATATTAAATTATAATAGATAACTTTTGTATAGTAGACTCTTTCTGAGAATGTCAAGTAGTTTTTTTTTTTTTTATACATATATATATCAATCTTTACTAAAACTGCTTTTAACTAAAAGTTTTTTTTTAAATGCTTTTCTTGTATTAATTTAATTATAATTTTCCCATAAAATTGTCATTCTTTTTCAGTCTCTAAGAAACTATACAGTAGTTATAAATCTCTTGGAAGCTATGCAATTGTTTTAAATCTCTTGGAAACTATAGAATAGTTAAAAAGCTCTTCAAAACTATACAATAGTTAAAAAGTTTTCAGAAACTATGCAATATTTTTTTTGATTGTTTTTGTCTCAATACTCTACGGTGACATCTGTCACTTTAAATCTGCGCTTTAAAAAGAGAAATGTTTCAAAAAGGTATCACTATTATACTTTTGATTTTTCTATTATTTTTTAATTTCTTTGTAACTAATGTTTTTTTTCTTACATCAGACCTTCTGATGGTAGTTACATTTTTTTTTTCTTTCTCTTGCTTTTTACTATGTTCTTCAAAATTTTATTGTTATTATAGTTGCATTTCTAAACACTTTCTAGCAATTTTTTTTTTTTAATTTAATTATTTTTTGTTTTATCTTTTATTACTTTCATGATTTCTCAACATATATATCTTAATTTAAATAGTTTCTGTGCTGTGTCAACACCAAATATCTATTGCTGATATTACAAAACACATGAATAATACTCTTTATACTAAAATGAGTCCAAAATCTGTTGAAATAAAAAAAAATAAAGATTTAACATTCTCCAGTAAAGAATCTGTAGTACAGATACGCGGTATTATCCAACATTAGTTATGCGGTTTTGCACTATCCCGCACAGTGGACTGAACAGTGGACATTGCTCAAAAATCAATGTTACTAAAATAAATTTAAGTTAGTTGTTATTGAAAGCCAAATAAATTTTGAAATAATTTTTTTCATTAAAAAAAAAAAAATTAATTCAAAGGCATGACTTGTTTAGGAAATATACAAGTTTGAATAACGTAATTTTGTTGCAAAAAATAGGTAATAGGTATAAATGATACATAAAAGTCATTTTTGGCATTATATAAGAGAAAAAATATCACTATATAAGCAGTGCTAATGTGGTAATTGTATGTAGAAACCATCTTAGACTGCAGTTTATGGAAATGTAAATCTTAACTTCATAGATTATACCACAAATATTTTTTTTACATGTAATACCTAATGAAACAACTCCTATAACAAGATGCGTAATATGCTTTTTAACTAAATTGTGCCAACTTAGTACTTTTAAACAAAAATGTAAAAGAATGACCTTACCTCTTTAGTTTAAATTTTTGTAAAATATATTTAAAAATATTAATGCAAATGGTTTTACATTATTTTGTACATATTTTTATAAGGGGAAGACATGTTCAGTAAAAGTGTATGCCTAAAAATTAAAAAAAGGAATAAGACCAATTTTTGACCAACACCCCCACCCCCTAGCCCTTTTTTTTTATTGAACTTTTTTTTCGACCAAATTTAATCTAGTTGAAATCTGTTTTAAAATGAACGAATTGCAAGAGTTAAAGTCAAAACTGAAGACTTTGTGGTGTATATAGTAATAATATAATATTTTTACTTATCACGTAAACTTGTTTATATTTTGAATTATATTATTTTAAGTTTAAATCATTTTGTTTAAAAAGTTATTTATTTATATCTTTAGTTTAATAACAATGAAGCTCATTGATATTGAATTATTTGAAATTTTGATTGCTGAGGAAAGTAAATAACCAAAAGCTATTTCTGCAAATATAACAGGATGTATACTGGTAATTGCTAAGGCTCCAATCACTTGATATTTGCAAAAAAAATAATAGTTCAGAATAGCTGGTAGAGATCTGCATCTGAAGAAAAACAAACTTAAAAAAATGGACTATGCTGGCATACAATTCAAGGCTGGTAAGAAAACCTTGCTTGAAGAGCATATTAAAGAATAATTCTTTCAATAAGTTTCCAATAGAAACAATGTCAATTTAAACAGTTTGTGCTCTTGGTAGTGCTCTTAATATATTGCCTAGTTAGAAACATTTTAGAAGAAAACAATCTGAAGTAACACAAGTTATAATGATGCAGTCTATTTCACGCTATTAAACTGACAATGCAAAGGATATTGATGAACATTTTTTTAGATATAAACATTGAAAATATACTAATGAAAATAAAGCTTGGATTTGATGGTAGTGGAAGCCATACAATATTTAATTAAAAAGATAATTTTAGCACAATTTTTAAAAATTATCAGAATTATATATTTTTTTGCTCAAAAATTTTTGAAACAGAAGCAGGTTTTTTAATATGGTTGCAAAAGTCATAAAATGCCCCACTGAGTTACAAAACACTGAGTCTTAAAATGGGAAAAGAATCAAGAGAAGATCTTCAATCATTGTCTTCAATCATTGTCTTCAATCATTGTCTTCAATCATTGTCTTCAATCATTGTCTTCAATCATTGTCTTCAATCATTGTCTTCAATCATTGTCTTCAATCATTGTCTTCAATCATTATCTTCAATCATTGTCTTCAATCATTGTCTTCAATCATTGTCTTCAATCATTGTCTTCAATCATTGTCTTCAATCATTGTCTTCAATCATTGTCTTCAATCATTGTCTTCAATCAATGTCTTCAATCATTGTCTTCATTCATTGTTTGAATATTGAAAGAATTGAAAATGGTTTTGTTATCGATTGAGACACTATAACTAGGAATGAAATATTTAACCAACTTGAACAAGATGTTTCTTTAAATAAAAAAAATTACCAATTATATCACAAGGGCCGGATAAACCTTTAAATCAATTCCAACCTGTGATGTAAAGCCAATACAAGTAAATTGGTATCTTGTAATAGTGCTCATATTATTCTATATTTTTAATATGTGAACATACTTGATATTAAAAATTAATAGATTTAGAAATTACTGATATTTTTATAGATTCTTCATTCTTTACTGGGTATATTTGACCATTTTATGAAAAATGTTGTACATGTTAAAGCTGGCGTTTTTAATTGGTCTGAGTCTCCTTTCAGTGCTTCAAATACCGTTCTGAAGCAAGCAGAGACTTTATTACAAACAGAGATATAAAAAAAAAAAACGGGAATAAAATGGGTCTACCCTGATCAAATTGGAAAATAAGGAACAACAACAACAGGTTATATAGCTAGAGAACTATTGCACAAAAAATTTAACAGGGATTTAATTATTGCACAAATGCCTGTTTAATATCATGCATCATTTCAAAATTTTGAATTGTTGTATCAGTAATTTTTTTTAATTTTTTCCACAAAAAGAAAAATTTTTGTGGATCAATATAAAAGTTATTGTACAAATTTTTATTTATTTCTATTTAACGAGTTTCCACCTGTTACAAAAATAAATTTACCTGGACCATGGATCAGTATAACACCATCACTTTACAAACTGATTGGTCATTCTTTGACGCTAATTTTGAATAATGAGGAAAGTGGTTTGGGAAATCTTTATGATTCAGGGTTAAAAGGTAATAACAAAATATTAAGATCGATACATACTAGACTTTTAAGAAAGTTTTTCACTTTCAAAAAACTCCTAAACAGGGATGCGGAGTCCCAAAAGGACTATGGCTTATTTTTTCATGGTTTAAACAAGTTGGTTGATTAATGACCTGCTATAAGAAAAAAAGTTATGATATTTAATGACTTGGAACTTATTGTTTTTAAGCCCGGATTATATCTTTCAGTCATTATATAAAAGTCTCCAGGTTCAAAAATTGATTGTTCTTCTGGCCTATAAGTCCTGATTTTTCCCCATTAGTAGCCCATAAGCTTTTTTATTCTTTTAAAGATACTGGATACCAAAAACTTTTTTTTGCCATTGATGTACTTATCTTTGTATTACAAAATAGCACTTTTTGTTCAAAAGTTATGAACATATGTCTGTGAAAACAGCTGTTTGGACCACTGCACCCCCATGATATGTTAAGTTCAAGTTGCAAATACTATGCTATTTGTAAATATTTATTGAAAATTGTTTAAACATTTAATTTAAACAATTAGTAACTTTAGTAGTTATTAAACATTTAAAATACTTTAAAGAATTTTAAATCAATATTTACGAATAGCATTGTATTTGCAAAATTAAAAAAATAATTACGCTTATTAAATGCTTTTATCCTGTGTTCAGTTGTTGTCTATATAAAAAAAAAGTTATTGACATATTGAAAAAAATTATTTGCATAAAGTTTAATAAACCTAATTACTATCATTTTAATTTTCATTTCCATCTAAATATTAGTAAATCTGTTCATTAACTTTTAATAAAGGTTAATAAATTTAACAGTGCTCTAAGGCGTCTTTTAAATAAAAAAGATAACTATAGTAAACTTAATGATTAAAAAATCCCAATTGGTACAGGTCAATACCGATGCATTTGCCCATGTATCAGCATTGGCCATAAATTCAATTTTGTACTCTTTTCTTTTTTACTCATAGATAAACTAGGGTTTATTTTCATATTTAATGTTAATGGTCAATTTTAATGCTTGCTTATTTATGAAAGTTGGCTTAATTTTGATGCTTGCTTATTTGCTAAAATTTACTTAATGCTTAGTTGCTTTGCACATCGAAAATCAAAATGGTCAAAAATAAAAATGAAAATAGTCTAATTAAACTATTTTGATGTAGATAAAAAAAAAAGTGTTCAAAGCAATTTGTAAATTTTTCAAAATAAAAATATCAAGAAGAGAAACATCTTGCAGAAAATTCTCTTTTCATTTTACATTACATTTACATTTGTTGATTTTAAACTTATCTCTTTTTATAGTTTGGATCCATAAGTCATATAATTGCTTTCTTATATTATAAAAAGACACTAAATGCGGGTAACTCCTGATAAAAATCAGTTTAAAATATATTTAAAGGTTAAGGGGTTGCAGATATGCCTACATAATAACTTAGGCTTATTCATGCATTTTTGTTTATGGAATAATTATAGTTTTGTAATAAGTTTAAATTCATTTTTTCAAATCTAAAGTTCAGTTAATAACCAAACAGTTTTAAACGTTAAACAAGTCATAGCATGTAGTTACCATTTTATTGTCCTGAAGAAAAGACTAAAGCTAAAATAACCAAAAAATTAGTTATTTCCTACCGCATTTGAGACTGAAACTTTTTTTGTATTTTTAATAAAAAAAAGCGAAAGAAAATTAATGGTATCAAAACTAGAAAAAAAAAACGGTATCAAAACTAGTTCGTCCCTGAGCTAGCTGTTCGTGTTGCAGGCCAGTATGTCTTTTAGCAATTTTCTATCCCAATAAAAGATACCAAACTGGAGTAGGTTATGTCTCACATCCATAATACCCTCAATCATTCTGTCTATTTAACATTCCACTTGGCATAATGTCAGTCTAGAGATATCAAAATTGTTTCAACAAGCAGCTTTAATTACAACTGATACAAATGTAGTTGTCTTATTTTTAATTTTTTATTATCAGGCAGTTTCAGCAGTTGCAGAAGTGATTTTCTCCGATTGCATAATTCTTTTGGGAAAGTTAAGAATAACAATTTCTGATTGTTTATCCATTGGAGTTTCACTGTTCAAATCCCATCTTAAACAAACTTCAAACCAACATCTGCTACAGCGATAGCAGTATTATCTTCACTATTCTGTTCTTTGTTTTTAATTTGCTTGTAATCCTGACCATCCTGTCTACCTTCTATTTTCTGATTTTATCTTGTTTTAAACAGTAAATACCTTGTCTCTAAGGGTTTGAGGAGGTTCTAGAATAGTGATTAAAATGTGGTAAACAGTTTTTTTACATTGTCAAAAATTTGACTTAAGAATGGGAAAACATTAAATCTGAGAATATAGTTTTTTTAAAAAAATAGCATTGTATGTATGTATATTGTTGTTGTAAATATATAGTTTTTTTTTTTTAATTCAGGATATTGGTCTTGCTCATATTAGCAATGGACTATCAGATCAAGCAGATCAACCATTTGGTGGTGGACTTTGTTCTTTAATCATTTGGAACACTGGATTAACTCATGAAGGCATGAGTTATCTTGCAGAAGGTTTGGTGAGTTGCACTAATGTAGCTTTGACAGATATATAGGGCAACTGATATTTGGGCTGAAAACATTGCTGATAAAGTTGCCTGATATTTTGTCAAGTTTTAAATTCTAATATTGACAGTCATAGGTTCATGAAACCATTCATGAATTTATGAATCCATGAACAAGTCATAAATTCATGAAACCATTGTAAGCTTTTGCAATAAGGTAATCATAAATTTTATATGATTTTTTTAAACATTTTTTCAAAAAGATATTCTTAAAAAATCAGCTAGAAAAATAAAGAAAATGAATCAACTAGAAAAATAAAGTTAATTAACTGAATCAGCTAGAAAAATAAAGTTACTGAATTATTAATACCCAATATGATGTAGTATTTCCTAACAACTCTTTTTTTGGATTAGTCAGGAAAAATATGCATCCAATTTATCTGGTTATCTGTCCCATATTTATAAAATTTATTTTTTTTGTAGGAAACTAAAAAAAAAAGTTAATATCATATGGTATCCTTATATCAATCAGTTTGTAAAGAAATGAAGTTTTCAAAAACCTTTTGACTAAGCAAATTTAAATCAACTCGTTGATATTTAAGTTTAAAACTAAATTATCACTATTAAAAGCATTATATTAATATTATATTAATGTTATATTTATATTATGTTAATATTATATTAATATTATATTAATATTATATTAATAGAATGATTTATTTTTAAGACAGTAATTTTTAGGTCTGGTTTTAGTTGCACTTAATTAGAAATAAAAAATTGAACTAAGAATTAAAAATTAAACATAAAAAAAAAAAGTTTGAATTTTTTTATCCTTTATTAATTTAAACAAAATTATTTTTAGTGGATGACTATGTAGTCTTAACTTATATAAATTATATGTAGTCTTAACTTATATAAATTATGTAGTCTTATCCATAAATTTTTCATAGATGGTCATATATTATCATTTTAACTATAAATGCAGATTGGCTGCATACTAAGTTTAGGCTTGCTTCAATTTTGTATTATTTATGGTGGTAGATTTAGTCTAGTAGATTAGTTTGTTTGTATAAAAAGGCCACATTTAAAATGGTAGTTATTTTGAAATTAATTTAAAAAAAAATTATATACATTTAATATAAATTTATATACAAAATGCTTAATACCACTTTGCTTGTGAACTTTGAACAATACTTTTTGTTTTTACAGTAGAAAGTATTTTCTTACTTAAAACATTTGCAATTTTGTAATACAAATTTATATTATCATTTTAAATTTTTTTTTATAAATTTTATATTTTAACTTTATTGTTATTCTATTTATTATTTATATTCTGTTAACTAAACAAACATGGTGAAGGAGTAAAAGTTCAACATTTTCTTTGCAGTTTTTCTGTAGTTTTTCTAAGGGTTTCAAAATTCAACTTGTGCCTGAAATTGATAATTATGTTTATGTTTTTCCAATATAATTATAGTTTAGAATGTATTTAAATAAAAATTCAAGTTTGTTTAATTGTTTAATTAAAAATTTAATTTTAGAACGTATTTAGTTAAAAATGTTAAGTTTCAAAATACTAAATAGTTTCATAATGATGAAAAATAAAAAAGTTCAAATATCCTGATTAAAAATACAATTAATAAATAATAAGTTGTTCTGTGTAACAATGAATGCAGTCTTAAGTTTATTTTTTACACATCATCCTTCTAATCTTATAACTCTGAAATACAAACATTGTCAGTTTCAAACAGTGTCAGTGGATAATAATTAATAAACAAGTGTGTACTTTTGACAGAGGGTTTAGGTTTATAATTCATATATTTTTGATAAAAAGTATAATTTATGAAACTTGTGAATATGTCATGGTTAAATGATATGTTGAAAATCTATTTAGTTTTAAATTTAAAATATAAAACTTTTTTTTGGATCATGGTACAGTATTTTTTTTTTTGGTTAGAAGTTAGGGTTTTGATTTATTTGTCTTTGAATTTTTAGATCAAAACAAGATCAATTAAAGCATTAAACCTCGGACAAAATCGGATTGGTGATTTAGGAATGCAAAAGCTCAAACATGGACTTATAAAAAATAAATCACTTAAAAAGATTGGATTTTTAAATACTAAAATTGGGAGTGAAGGTAAGATATTGTATTTTTCTATTTTTACATATTAATTAAAATTTAACTATTATTTACCTTTATTCTTATTCAAACTTTTTCACAACTTTTTAACAATATATATTATGTATTATCTTTTTTTACAACTTAAGGTGCAGTTGCATTGGCTGAGGTGTTAGCTGATAGCTTAACTTTAACTAGAATCGATCTGAGGGGTAATGAGTTGCAAGTGGCAGGTTTAATGGCATTTTCAATGGCTCTGAAAGTAAATCAATCTTTAACAAAGCTTGATTTAGATAAAGCTATAAAGAAGGAGCCGGTATTATTAATTTTTTAAGAAAAAGAAACACAAACTTGCTTTTGCAAAACATTAAATACATCATTTAAATTCTTTTTTAATTTTCAAGTTCTTTTAGTTTTCTATAGGTGAGCAATGTTTAATGTTTCATTTTAATGGTTAGGGAATGGAGTCAGTTATTCAAACAGTATTGGTTGATATTTATAATTATTGTCATCGAAATAAACAGCTTAATACGTCTACTATTCCGTTTTCTGTTAGCCTTTCATCTTCAGAATCCAGTTGTAGTTTAGCCAATAATATTGTTGGTAAAGATATTTTTCACCCAGAGGAATTAAAACAACCTATTATTCCATTCAGTCCTGTTCAGAACAAAGAAGATAATTTTAACGAACAACTAAACAATCATACAACTACAGAAACATCTTCAGATTTATTGCAAAATAACACTGACTCTGTAATCTCAGGTTCTGTTCAGAAACCACAAAACAGCTTAAATCTTACAAAACCAAATGATCAGCTGTCAAAACGTGAGTCTAGGTTTTCAGTAACAAAAATTTTAGATACTTTGGGTAATCATGCTGCAGATGTAGCAAATAAAATTGCAAATAATGTGGCAAATATTGACTTACAGTTAAAGCGAAATAATTCTAAAGAACAATTCGATGCTAAGAGTTTTGAATTACCTAATGTATATAATAGTAATACAGAACATGAAAACCAACTGTCTTTTAAAAACACTTCTGACGATTGTTCTTTTGAAGTCACTTCAGACAAACTCGCTTCTGAAGTTAATACAGACAATAACTTCTCTGAAGCTATATCAAATAATCATGCTTCTGAAGTAATTTTAGACGATCATCATTCTGAAGCCAATCATAATTCAACAAGTATTCTGCAGTTAGAAAATGATAATGAATTTATTTTCATGAAAAGTAGTGAAAATGAAAATGCATTTGATAGAATTGATAATTTAAATCTATCTTCGCAAGTTGATAATAGTCTTTGTTTTATTGAAATGAGAACTTCTGGTGACTTTTCTTCTTTAGAAGAACACTTGACATTAAAAACTTCAGGTGATAATTTTTTTAAAGAAGAACATATGATAAAAAAAACTTATGATGATATTTCTATAAAACAAGACTTAGTTTTGAAAAGCAAAATTTTGAACACCAGTATACATAATGATGATACATTAATCAAGACACCTAGTATATTGTTAACAGACACAACTTTTAACGATTTAGAAAAAACAACTAAACTCCAAACAACACAAGGTTTATTAAAAACTGATTTAAAAGATTTCTGTGATGAACTTGAGGGTGATTCATTTTCAGTTACATGTAATTTAGACAGTGTATCGCCCTCCAGTACTTCTTTTTCTATCAATTTTTTTACTACAGAAATGCTTGATAACACTTATAATCTTCCAGCAAAAGGTTTGTTTTAATATATTAATATAAAATAAGATTGAATTTATTTAAGTAACTTGTTAAAATTATTTTCCATATTGTTTGTATCATTTTCACAGGCATTTAGATTTAAACAGGAATGTTTTACCACTTAACATTCATTCTCAAAATAACCAAAATTACTTTTAATGTCTAGAAATATTATTATTTATTATATATTATTTATTATTAAATATATTAATTATTTATTATTATTGCTATTTTTCTTATTTAACATAATGTCACCTTTAATATAATAGCAATTTAACTTTGGTCATTTCAACATTGCGGTAGTGGTGTAGTGGTAAAACACTTGCTTCATAAGCGAGAGGTTTCGAGTTCGATCCCCACCACGGCCCTGGTAGTACCGCGCTCAACTTGTCTCTCCGCGCAGCGGCCTTGTTCTTCAAAGTTCGTGTTTCGAAGTTATAGAGTTGAGAGAGGATTATAACCACTATTAAGTAGCCTCCTCATCTGCAGTGGCCTTCTCGGCCTTCAGGGGGTGAATAACAAAAAAAAAAAAATTAACTTCAAAAAAGAATTTTAAAAATGCAAATATGAACTGCTTACTTATAGCACAATTGTAGGCATAAAAATCATAAAATACAAAATAATAAAAATTAAATAAGTAAATCAAGAATTAACTCATTTTATTTTTTAAAAAGATTTGGCGTTGAAACTTTTTTTTACACTTCAATCAAATGCCTGTTTAACAAATCCTTATTTGTGTCTATTTGTGATGTTTTCCTAGTAAATTGTTCCCTATACAACCCGCTGTGTTTATTTTGAGCCTCTTAAGCCAATTGAAAGCTAACAGGCATAGGGTACCATACATATTGTTCAATGTATAATTCTCAAGTTTCTCTTGCGTAGATTTTATGGCATAAGTTTTTTGCATTCTAGAGTAATTCCCAAGCGGTTAATTAAGTCTCTTGCATAGATCCAGGCGTGAAAAGGTGATAATTCCAATGAAAGACAATCTTTATTTACTTCTTTTCTTGATAATTTATTTATATTATTCATTTCAGTAGGTTAAGCCCCACATAAGTAGCAGCATTGTACCGAAGAACAGGATGACAGTGCACTGTGCCTCAAAGAGGTCAGAAAACGGCCAAAATATTTTTCCAATACTTTTTTTATTTTAAATTTTATACCAATTTTTCAAATTTTATTTATATCAGTTTTTCATAACAATTTTTATTTTAAATTTTATTTATACCAATTTTTATTTAAATTTTTTATTTTTCCTCTATAACCTTAGTTAAACTAAAAATGGTAGGAAGATAAGCATAATAATAGCTTGACATTTATAGACATTTATAGACATTAAGGACGACGGGGCAAGTTTGTGCTACTGAATTATTCAGGAAGTTATTTAAATTGCTTCTGACAATCATAAAAATAAAGAGGCGGGGGGGGGAGGCTTGTAGGCAATTTGAGATAATGTCTTTTATATTTCTAAAAAAAATGGCTTAAATTAAATAGCTTTCGTGGTTTTTTATTATAAAAAAATTAAATAATGAAATCTTAAAACATCCCAATTTTATTTTGGATCGTTGCTAATAATAGATAGATTGACTTTTACAAATCTCAAAATTATGCCTCTTTTGGTATTTTCACTCTGTAATAATAATTTGACTACATATAAAAAGTTTTGCGAAAGCAAACGTGTTCTGCAACTAAGTTCATGAATTTTGTTACAAAAATATTCTTATTGTTTCAAACGATCTTTGTTGCAATGTGTTCTGTAAATAAGTTCAGCAATTTTGTTTTAAAAACATTCTTATTGTTATAAACGATCTTTGCTGTCTTCCATATATCAGAGATAAGCTTTCAAAGTACATATTTTTATAAGATAATACGAAGCTATCATTTAGGTTAATAAAAAGAAATTGTAAAAAATATTTATATTGAAATTGAAGTTTTTTTATTCAAAATTTATAGTTGCAGATCAGACAGGAATTTTCTCACAGATCCTCATCTCTTGTAGGACATAACCTTGCTAATCATATTTAGAAAGCAAAAAAAGAAAAAAAGTTATTTCAATATTTTGGTGGATATGTATTAAGTACTTTTTATCGTATTATTTAAAAAGTTTGCAAAGTTGACATACTTGTTGGCTGGAAAAGATGTAGAAAGTGTAGAGTGTAATTGTAATACTAATAAAAAATGTAATAATTCAAAAAATTTAGATGTTCTTTGGTCTGTATTATTTGATGCTTTTTTTTACTACTAGCAGAGTTAGCATTCAGAAAGTCAATCAAAAAGTTTATGTAAAAATAAGCTGCCAATTGATGTCAGAATTGCTTTAAGATGTTGAAGTCTTATTTTTCAAAAAATTGTAATTTTAATTTGACCGAGATGTTTAAAGAAGTGGTTATCAATTTTCTAGACCATCTTTTACCACTTTATTTTTGTGTTCACTCATTATTGTATTCAAAGGAGCTATAAACTTGCATAAAATAAGGTCTGAAACTTGCATAAAATCAATTCTATATTGAAAAGAGCAAATTTGTTTAGAAAAAAAAAATCTAGAAAGGGTTTTTAAACTCCATCAAATAAATATTAGACATTTAATAAAGGTTTTGATAACCAAAAGATTTGTTAAAAACATATTCTAGTATTTGAACTGTATTGCAGTATGATTGAAAGATGCAATAATCAAACAAAGTTGTATAATTTTCTAAATAATAATATCATATAATGTAATGATTAAATAATAATATCATAATGTAATGATTAAAGCAATTGGTTTAACTACTTAAGTAGTTTAAAGATAAAAAAAAATTTATTTTATAAGATTTGTGGCTTTTAAAATAGTCACAAAATAGCTTTGATATTTTTTTAAAATGAAATAAAGTTAGACACAGCTATATGAAACATTGATCTTTTTAAATGTGTGTTTGTTAAATACATTTTTTACACTTTCTTTTTTTCTTTATTACTTCTTAAAACAATTGTATCTTTTACCCCAGGTGCCTGACAGGATATACCATCTTGTTCAAAAAAACTAATGATGCATAACTTCGTTTCATCATTAAGAGCATTAGGTCCATGTGTTGGTTGCATATCTGGTAAATCTTTTTTAAACTGAATTGCAAAAAGAAGTTGGAAGAGCACGTATTGCTTTTTTAACAGCTTTACCAAGTGTACAAGATGATTTGCAAGCAGGAGAGATATTAGATGTTATTCTAGATGAAGAAACTCTACTTTTTTTTTTTTTTTTTTTTCTTTACTTGTCCTTTAAACATGCTAAATTCAACATTAGAATTTCGTTTTTCCTTTTTCCGCATCGAGTCTTTTCTCATTTTCCTTTATAAAATCCGGAATTTTTGCATTTGTCTTTCTCTATACTTTTTCTGGCGTTCAGCATGTGTCAGAGTTTTTTTGCATTACTTTCAACGAAGAAATAAACAATTTATTTGTGAAAGTTTACTTTTTATAAGAATTGTACAAACAATAAACATTCAGAATAACTTCAGCAATAACTTCAGTGACAAAATTTAAAAAATACTAAATAACAAAGGTGGTAGTAAAATATGTCTACATATTTACAGGTACACCTACAACTTTAATAAAAAAAAAACAATGTTAGTTATATTAAAGGAGGTTTCAAAACTTATCCACAAATAAAAAATAATAAAAACACTACAGATATTAAACCAACATGTTTTTTGCGTAACATTTTTATAAAAGTTAGTTTATATAATATAGTTTTATAATAAAATTAGTTTATATAATTAGTATAAAAAAATTTAATTTTAAAAAATGTCACGCCGTGTCATCACAATGTGACATAAACTTAAGACACATAATACAAAAACATTTTAAAAATATTTAAATTTAAATATCTATTGATATTTATTACCCTATTTTTAATTAAATAATTTATAAATATTTAATTAAAATAAATATTCTTACGCTAGAATGAAAAATGTTACTATTAGTGGCACTGTGTGACATGCCACAGCGTGACGAACTTAAAGAAGACCAAATAGAAATTTCTCAATGAAAGACTATTTGATTATTTTTTTTTATGTAGTTATTTTAGGTGCTCCCAGAAGTCCTTAGGGTCTTATCATAGAGCACCGCGGGAGAGCATATAACAGAAAGTTCACACCTCGTTTCATACCAATGTCGCTTGTTGACCTAGAGCTGCCAATGAACCTCAGACCTCTGGGTTACTCTAACCACTGCGCCACGGCTGCTTAGATGCCATGGCTGCTTATTATAATAAAATTTCAATTTGAAAAGCAAGAGCTCCATTTATATTTTTCGTGAGACAAATCTATATAGAAATTTTTAAAAGTTTAAAAAAAAAAGGTTTCAAAATGATTTACTAGAAAAATAATTTCAATTTGAAGTCTAAAAAATTTTGTTTAAAGTCTAAGCATCAAATCCTAAAATTCTTCAAAAACCAGTTCTACATGTTACATATTTTTAGAAACTACAAACCTTTAACTTTTGAATGATACATTTAGTTTTTTATTTTCTAGGATTTGAAATTTACATTAAATTTTTTGTACAATGTGGAATAGCCTTATATCCTGCCTAAAGAAGGATTTGCCAATGAAAAACTCTTAACTGGTTGATTTATTGAAGGTAGTAAACCTGTCGATCCAAAAAAAAACTTATCTGATATAATCAGGGCCGGCACGAGTAGGTGTCACTTGAAGGGGTGGGTGCCATTACATTTTTCCGACTTAATAAAAATACAAGGTCCTTGTTTTTTAAAATTTGCCAACTAACTGTCTAAATTTACCGACTAACTTGTCAAAAGGGTCTACATTTGCTGACTAACTAGTCAAAAAGGGTCAAATTTGCCGAATAAATGAACAAAAAAATCATTGATAGGGGGTGTCGCACCCTCACACACACATACACACCGATTGCGCCAGCCTTAGATATCATATTTTATTTTTAGTTATATTTTAACTAAAGATATATTTTTATTTATAAACATCATCGGAAGAAGATATTTCAAATAT